ATATATAAATGAGATAATGCATGTAAATGTACAAATGTTATATATCTCTGAAATATAAATAAATATTACACATATAAATATATCTCATATAATTTTTAAATTTTTCCTATTCTATGAACGGACCAAGAACGAAATAGCTTCTTCGCTGATTTATTTTTAAATTCTTTTCCGCGAATAATTTGTACTTCCAATGAGGCACCGTTGTTCAGCGCCAACCACGTGTGAATCTCATTGCTAGCTGGAGACACTCCTGCAACATCAAAATAGATGTCAAATTGTATGTGCAAATAAAACACGTTAAAAATAAATCTAAAAAAAAAAAAAAATAAAATACCTAGCAATTCGTGGAGAGTTATACGCCGACTGGCCAGCAACTCCTTGCTGGCGCTCTTGATGTCAAATATGAGAAACGCCTGTCTCGGCACACTGTTGCAGTCTATACGAAAGTTTATGCCGAACTGAGGATTGGGCATAGCTGGCAAGAGACGTGATTTTGCGATGGTTTTAACGCTACTCGGTGACGCTTTGATCTTACTCGGACTGCTGCACCTGAAAAATCATCGATTTAAATATCTGCAAACTATATATTGTTATTTTATCAATCATTAAACATACTTACGTTTGAAGTTTTACTTGACAATACAATTGAGCAATATGCGCCACGTGAAGACCCTGTGCCTGAATTACCTTCCCTTCAACTCCGGAATATTTCTCTTTAGTACCATTGACGATCTTTAAATCTAGAAAAATTGAATAAAAAAATTAAATAAATTCTTCCGTCGGATCGATTTTTAACTTTACAAAAACAAATTGTTAAGACGTCATACGGTTCCTCTTAAACTATGCTCAAACTGACCGTTTGGTTTTAATATCCTACGCGGACTGGAGTGCTTTATCTTGTCCAACATGTCTGGTTGGGATACCGCATGAGCCAGGCCAGCTTCCGACAATAGTTCTGTCGCATCAGCCTCGCCGCCTCCTCTAGGTTCCAGACTCAATGTCATATCCTTGCTGTCGTTCTTATTCTCTATAGTCACTTCCGAACGGAATCTGCGAAGTCCCAAGCCCTTCTTCACCTGCAATTATTTGATATGTTTAAACGGAAATTTCAATCACGATAATTAAACACGTTTACCTTTTGCTTCATTATGCGAAAACTGCTGTACTGCGGTACCTTCTTGCCGAAACTTTGGTCGGGACTGAGAGTTAGACTATGATGAGAGGATTGCCTGTCTGCTATTATTATGGCAGTGTCGGACTCGTCGACAGAATTATCCACAACAGATTCGTTGATGATTTCCGGAATCCAATACTTGGACGTTCCGTTCACTTCGTTCGACTCCTTGTTGATGTTAGCTTTATCTGTACCAACCATGAAAGATTAAAAACATTAAAGAGTTAGTAATTAAGGATTATTAGTCATCAAGGGAATTATCTTTTTCAAATAGTTTCCGAGAAAATGTGTAATACCGGACTGATTAGACGTAGTTGGCTTTAAGAGGGTAATTGTGCGTGGCGGAGGCGGTGGTGGTATAACTGGATTTAGATGCATATTTAACATGGATTTCTCCATTCTTCGCACGATGCTCGATTCGGAGTCGGGCTCTGTGTTCAAATGAGAAGAATTGTCACTGACAATGCTGGTCGCACATGTACTTTGGGTCTAAAAACGAAACAAATTGTTAATACATATTTATAACAAAAATAAATACAGCAATAAGATGATAACGTCATGTAAAAAAAAAACGTTACCTCGCATTCTTCCGACAAGATTTTAATTTTTAGCTCCACAGATCCCATCTTGGTTTCCTTGAGCTGAAACCAGTGGGAGTGATCGCTGTTCGACAACCTTCTGATATCGTCGAGAGTCAATGACACTTTCCCGAGATATTCTTTTACGAAAGTATCATGATCCCATAATACCTGTAAGAAAATTAATTAGAATAACTCATATTTCTTTTCATTTTTATTTTCAATCAAGAAAATCTTAATGACACATGAAATTACGATATCTAAAGTTTCTCCGGTCTTCGGCAAGCCCATTATAGAACTTTCGTTCCAGCAAGGTATTAGCGTTTTCTTCTTCATGTTGCTCTTGTATTTTGTCTCGTTGTTCACTTTCAGTTCGTAGAAAAAATTGATGAAGGTGTTGTTGCGAGCGAACGACCTGGAACCATGAAGATCTTTTGCGCACAACAACGTTACTTCCATCAGACTACTTTCGGTGGATAGCAGACTGGATATATCGGACGACGGATCGGCGGTCTTTGATGGTAATAACAACTTCTGAAAGCATATTGTGTAAACCTCGAGTATATAAACACACACGTAAAAATTTTGTTTTTTTAGAGAATTACAAGCGTTTATAACTAACAGCTTCGTGTATTTCCGACGGAATGTTCCACTTCATTTTCGACTCGTCATCTGTAGTTGGTGTTACACTGCTTCTGGGATTTCCAAACGTTTGTTGTACACTTTTGACGGGATAAAATAATACAGAAACCGTCAAGATGGAAGAGAGAGTGGAGTTGAGCGTGAGTTCCTTTTTGACGATACAAGTCATGTCCTTTCAATGAACATGTGTAGAAAAATTTTGTTATTTTTTTTTATCATGAATATTAGTAAAAAATGGAAATTGTTCGATTTGACAAGACTGTGTTTATTTATACCTGAGACAAAGACAACGTAGCCAATCCCAGGGTATTTGTATCTACTGAATTTGCTACGTTCCACGAAAAAATGACGAAACTTAGCGACACTTCGGTGTAATTTTGAACCAGAAATTCCATCTTGCAGTCCCAAACTGGGGAAGTTGTCGAACGAACGTAATGTGTTGTTTTTATCTGTGTTGTATAAAAACATCCAGAGAATATAACAAATAATTAATTTAATAGAAATCAATTTTTTGTGTGTGTAGATATACGATAAGATTTTATAAGTTGTCTTTACTTTCTTCTGATTGTTGAACAATATGCAGTAAGGATTGCAATGAGCGCTGTCGCTGCTAAGATTGTTCGCAGAATGAATATAAACCATCAATACTCCTGTAGAAAAAAATAGAAGAGAATTAATTTTTTATTTCATATATTTCCTCTTTTGAGTTTTATCTTTTTTCTCTCTCGTTTATTACGTATCTTCTCAAATACCTGCGAGATGTGAATTATCGGTTGTTTCGGGTAGCGGTAGATCAGGATCTAAGAGAGGAAGACCAGTGTATTCTAATTTCGCGCTGATATTTGGAAAGTTGGCGCTGCTCCGGGACAATTTTGTCTGTTGCAATGTCGTTTTGACACTGTCAAACGAAAATGAACAAAGCGACATTAGATCTAATCTAAATAACTTGATAATGTCAATACTAAAAAAAAAAAAAAAAAAAAAAAAAAAAAAAAAAAAAAACTATCATTAAAGTCCACTTTAATTAAATCAATAGATGTAGCACTTACATATGCGAGTTCTCCCAATCGAAAATTCCCAATGCCAACTCAAACTGCGCCAAAGTGACAGTACTGAGAAGCCATTTCGTTTTCAACTTGACAACAATCTTTTCATTATCCAACGCCCCGACCAAAAAAGACAAGTCTTCGGTCCACGCGGAATTTAAATTCGAGATAATATGCTTTTGATCGCCCACCGTTACTACAAGCCATCTCTTTTCATCTGTGACTGATAATAGAAAAAATGCGTGTTACAAAGTTTTTTTGTGTACGACCTCCGATTTTCTCTATTGCAAAAAGATAAACAATAATGACAACTTTCCTTCGAAGAGCGCTTACCAAAACAACCGATCGGATTGAAAGCAACGGTGAGCACTCCTTGCGGCGTGGGATTGGTTACAAGCTCCAGTTTCGGACCCGGTCGTTCTCGCGTTCTCAGATTCATCTCTAGCTGACCCGAATCGACCAGCCAGCTACTCAGAGCGTCTGTCACTACCGTGTGAATCCAAGTTTTGATCAGCGGCATTTCCATCACCTGCACGGCACCTAGGATCTTCACATCGAACCAGATGTTCGGTTTCTCCAAGAAAGTCATGCTAAGATCGGTTACATGCGGAAATGGTGCTAGTTCGTTTAGTATCACATTGATAACGATGGTGCCCGACAGCATCAGATTCTCCACAGCCAGATCGATGTCCATACCCACGCTGTTGATTCAATTTTATTAATATCATAAAAAATTCTTTATCTCTTTCTCAAAAAAAGAAATTAACAAAATCATGTGAAATCACATATAAGTGTGATGCGCGAAATAAAGAGAATCGGAATCTCAAACTACAAACTAAACTCTGTTCCCAATTAACAAACAAAAATTAATGACACAGAAAAATAATAATAAAAATAAAATTAATTAATTTTCGAAGACAGCAATATTTACAACACTTTTCTTGAAGAATCTTTAATTTTTGTTAGCGGATATAACGAGGGGTTTTTTATTTCTCACCCCTTTCCAAAGCGCGTGGTAACAAGTAGAAGAAATTCCTCGCAGTCCAGCTGTATGTCCGCTGCGATAGACAGTTTAGCTTGGTTGTTGTAGTCTCGAATGAGAAAATCGTCGTTGCTACAGCGATCGAGCACTTGCACCCGCGTGATGCACGGTGTCTGCTTACCGAGAGTAAATTGACGTACCTCCACCGGGCCTGAAAACCCGAGGGTTTCTCTTACAAAAAAACTCGCGACGAAGTAATTTGAAAGATCGGTTCGAACAGTCACGGTGTTCAATTTTTTCGGCATACTTTCGCAGTTTGTTTGTTGATTTGCGAGTCGCGAAACAAATGTATCTTACCTAATATGCTGGGTTTGAGCTCGTCAAAAACAATTTCGAGATATTCTTTGGCTAACTTAAATACGCCGGAGGCGCTAAATCTCCACCTGAAAAAAACAATATTTAATAAACCGAACGAAAAAAAATCATGTATTCTTGGATTTAAAACTTTTGTTAATTGAAAATAATGATTATATATAAAATAACAAAGAAATATCATATTTTTTATTTCACAACATTAATTACTACAGGAAAGTGTGTTGAGGAAACGGTTAACTTAATAAAAAAAAAAATAAATAATATTGACGCAAAATATTGTTGAAAATGTTTATCTTCATTGACAAAAGAAAAGTCAAGTTGCTAATGAATAAGATAAGCTCCGCGAGATGCTGTAAAAAAAAAAAAAAAAAATCAACTTGCCACTTGCTGAGAAGCAGACTAATCCATTCGGCGGTCTCGCCTTTTTCCAAGGCTTGTCTCCTGCGTAACAGAATTCGTTCGTGCTGCAATTTTCTCTCGAGGTACCACGACACTTTCTCCTTAATTGTCTTCATTGCCAATGCCAGGATGAGAATCGCCCATACAACTGAGAATTTCGCTCCTCCCATTATCCATGAGATTATTACCACCATCCCGAGATACAAAGTGATACGAATTTCCTCCGCGTCACTCTGCAAAAAAAGAGATCAATTTTGTTCGATAAAGTTTTTTGCACGCGCATTCTGCGTGTGTTTGTTTACAAATAATATACGCATCAAACATATGAAGGAACTGAACGTGAAACTTCAAAACGCGTTTGTCTCGACACTCGCGACCATCGTTATCCCGAAAAATCGGTTCGACCGATCGGCTCGCAATCTTACACACATAAAATTTATTTTTTTCATTTCCGGACCGAGATCGAATGAAAACAACGTGTGTCACGCGACACGTCAAAGATATGTTCTTCGGTGTCTTCGTCTCGCTGGGATGTAGGACGATGATTCCCGCGCGCTCTCATATCTACATACACGCGACGTCGCGTGTTACAACGTCGAAGAATTTTCCTTGACGTTACGAAGAACCATCAACATAAAAGGGTGAAATGATTTTCACGGCTTTTGTAAATTTATTTCACATCTTCTCGAAGCAACGCACGTCGCGCTCTGAAAATTATATAGAGCAATGTTTAACGTGATGCGGTCTCAACTCACGCCTCTTGATCTCGTCTCGAGGACGAAAGGTACGTTCTCGTTCTTGCTGTCGCGTACTTGCGCAATAGTAATTCAACCTGTTTCATCAAGAGCGTAACGTTTCATTAATCGGAAAGTCGTCCGAGTTGCTAAGAGAGGCGTGCCCGCGTCGTAAAATATACGCGGTGGTCCCTCGAATTAAACGTCGATTAAAGCCGCTTGTCTGCGGTTGAGAGTTATTTTTTCTCATTTACGAAACTACAGCAAGATGAAAAGAAAAAAAAATTATCGGCCATCAGATCGTTTACTTTTGTGCGTATCGTATAATTTAAGTGCTTCGCGTACGAAACAGCAGCTCTGATTTCAAAAAGGATTCTGCGACGTTTGCCGTAAAAACAGTATTTAAAATACAGCAGGATTTCTTTTCTTTTTTTTTTATTTTTTTCTTTACGTTTTAAAATCGCGTAATTTTTCTACTAAATGAATTTTTATGGTTACTTGTGTTTATGTTTTTTTCTTTGAGGTTTCGCTGAGATTACGAATCTAGAGTCAGTGAACGTTCGTGAGATGTATGTATATCGCAAGCACGTCTCGTAGCCGGTACGTTCCGGCTCCTTGCTTCTTCACGGGGCATCGGTTCGGCTTTACGGAATTGACGATTCAACTCGCGTGGGTTCTTTTGAAAAATGTCCGTCGTGCGCACGAATACACAGACCATACAAATTACGTACATATGTACTCGATAAGCAATGGACATTCCAGGCGAGAAATAATATCTGATCTTCGGGGTCTCGTGCGAGAGTTCTGCAGATTTGATGATACGATTGTAGCGCGAGAAACGTACGTTTTTATTGTTTTTTTCCCCTCGCCAGAAAGAGTACTATCGAGTTTCAACAGTTCTCTGCTTTTTATTTAATCAATTTTAGCCATGCAAACATCATTAGATAATTAAACGTTATATAAAAGCTTATTTAATATAAATTTCAAAATTAATTTACTTTAAATAATTTACTTCAATTATTCAATTATCTCATATCATTTATAATTTTAATATAATTTAATTTAATTTAATTATTTAATATAATTTTGCATATTCGAATTTCAATTAATTTATAAATTAATTTATAAATTAAAAACTCAAAAATAAATATTCTCTCACGCACGTCGATTACGTAAGTAACAATTTCTAAAGTTTGCTCCAAAAAATGTTTTTATTTATTGCGGTGTTTAATTCACCGAACTTTGCGCGAGCAGTGACTTGACGCGAGAAAAGCGGAACACATGCGCGCGCGGTCTCTGTGCTTCGCTATCAGAAATTTATTATTCGACTCGGCTGAGCAAACAGCCCTTTCCGATCCGATGACAAGCGGTGTCGTACCCGTCCTTCATGCGTGGCGGAGAAGACAAAGTCGTCGAACGCAAGATCGTCGTGCATCATGTTCATGACTCGTCGCCAATACTGATGCTGATGTTACTAAAACGCCTGTCCGGATTCTCCGTCGGCCGATTACGTCTTCCTGAAGAAGAGATGCAATGTTAGACACGTGCGCATATAAATTAAAAGAAAATTTAAACAAAATTCGAAATGTAGTTCAAATATGTAGACACAATGTTAAGATTTAACAATGTTAATGTCAGTCTCTCCGGTACATTTTTTCGCTTTGCTCTTTATTAAAGTTATTATTGTTATTATTATCTAAATTTCTACCGGTAATTATTAATTCTCTATAGGAATTGCGCGAGCCACCACTTGATGGACACGCTTTTCAATTGGTCGAAACGCGTCGCGACCGACAGTGCGGTAGTAGAGTGCGCATCTCTCACGTTCTCTCTAATAACAAGCGGTGTAGCACATTAAAGATTGTGCAGTTAGTATCCGCGCGACCGGTGTGTACTATACCGTTAACTTAACATGTATATACATATATATATATATATATATATATACATATGTATATATAACTGCCGTTTTCGCGTATGCGTATATATATTGCGCTACTCTCCGCCAACTGTTGATAAAGTGTTTTCGAAGAAATTTGATTGCTTTCGCAAGCGCCGTCAGCGCGATTATCCTTGTTAAAATAACGTCCGAATAAAAATCAGCTCTCTCAATCGACTTGTTCGGTAAACTTCTTCAGAAAATCTCTTAAAGGATTTTTTTCATCATTGGAGATCGAGAAATCGACGGCGAACGTGAATCGAAAATGCGAGCGTGATTATATCTTCTAAAAAAAAAAAAAACGGGAATTCTCTTAATTCCTCTGAATCTTTTTCTCTATTTAATAACGTCATAGAAAATCAAGTGAGAGGTATAAAACGCTCATTTATCGAACGGAATTAATTTTCATAATTAACGTTATCGCGAAAATTCTTTCTAACGAGAAGCAAAAGCATGCGATAGAAAGTGCAGCGGACTCGGAATGCAGGCGGCAATGCCCGGCAGCGCTTCGGGCGAAATGCCACGTGTGTTTGAACACGCACGCCTACGCGAGAATTCAACGTGATACACACGCTATTCCGTCTTTTCGCACGCGCGTGTGTGTGTGCTATAGACAAGTAAAATTAATTATTTTGTTAATACGCGCTTGTTTCTCTTGCCGAGCATGTTTGGTCGTCAAATACACACGCGATTTATTATATATACGTACACACATTATTGTCACACGATGAGTTCCACTATTGCGCGGCACGCGCAGAGACGAGATACACCGTTGCCTATATAACGGCACCGTGAGTGCGGTGCTTGAAAATTTCAATCCCATACCTATCATGAACTCAATATGGGAGAAGAGTCGATTATTTCTTTTTTTGCGCAATAGTGCTGCATTTTGAGAAACATTCGTGAAAAATCATCTCTTGTCTTCTGTTTGAAAAGCAAATAAAATTTTACTTGAACCTCAATGTTTCATTTGTTGAATAAAGTTGATGAGTTTGTCAATTAAGTAATTTTTGGCGGTTCTACTTTTTATATTCGTTTATTCTGAATTTTTTTAATCAAGAAATATATTAAAAAATAAAATTTTGCGTAATTTTTTACTGAATTTCATTTACTTTATTTATTTTTTTATTTATTTTCCTTCAATTTTATTTACTTTTATTTAATATGTTGTTAGATAATTTACAATTACTCAAAAAAATAAAAAATTTAAAAAAAAACAATTGAAAGTAACATTTACACACGTTGAGAAACATTGACTTTCGAGCTAAATCGGCCACTCTCGGCGAGATGTGGCGAGCGTGGTAGCATCGTAGTCACTCTCGTCATCGTTATAGTCGTGTTGTCGTCGTCGTCGTCGTCGTCGTTGTCACCGTCGTCGCGGTCCCGCTTTCTCTCTCTCTCTCTCTCTTTCCCCGTGGTTTTATTTGCTTCTCAGAGACAACATCTGTCTTATATGCCGCGCCGCGGCGTGCATCGCCACGTTACATCGCCACAAAACGTTGCACGACAACGCTGACGAGTCGGGCTGCGTTGTGCAAGGTGTATTATGTATAAGATGAAGAAAGAGAGAGAAAAGAGAAACAGAAGAGGGGAGAAAACTGAGAAAGAAAGGAGACAGTTTCAGAGAATCACACACCTGGAGAAGAAAGAACTAAACAGAGATGTGTGACCGGAAAATACCGGGTGTCTATGAAGGAGACGACGACGCCGCCGCGTCCCGAGTCGTCAAGACTCGGATACAAAGAGTTCCCTCATAAGATTCACGGAATTCAAAAACCCACCGTAATGTGGTCGAGATATATATATATATATATATGTCTCTGAATATCGCGGAATATTCGAATATCACGCAACTATACTCTCTATGCTATTTAATTTTAAAACCGGAAACATATAAAGAAGCTGCCATTTGAAATGCAAAACATATTACGAATCTTGAGATGAGAGAACCTGATAGATAAAAGATGAAGATCGTTTAATCCGATAATCTGAAAATACATACGAGAGAGTTTGGAGAACGCAGAAAAAATACTACTACTATTTTACAACATTCTCTTCTCTATATTTCCTACAAAGATAAGAGGAATGTGTGAAAGAGATAATACGCGAAACGCAGATCCGTAAAAGATTCGTATCGTCATTAATTCCCGATCTACCATTTGGCTTTTCGGTGATTATCGCGCCTCTCTCTCTCTCTCTCTCTCTCTCAAATCTTATATATGTATATATGTATAGATTTTTTTAACTACCTGCGGACAGAAAGATCTATTCGAAGGCGGTACATTCCGAAGGTGGCTATTTTAAAAAAGCCACCGGAAACCTGTTCTTGTTTTGCCGAAAAAGACGGAGAGAATTCCGTTTCCCACCTCGTTTTACGCATTTACATATTTGTATAGACATACTGCGTGTTTGGTCTCGGTGTTCTTGTACTCATCTCGGCGCGCACAACGCTATTTAGACTCCAAAACTACGTCCAAAAATATACGCGCAATACTTTCATAGATTATATTATTAAATGTTTTCCGAATATATGAATATATAAATATATATATATATATATATATATAGGAGAGATTTTAATAGAAAGTTTACAAATGATAATTAATATTGTTATTATTTACATATATAGAAAAGAAACAATCTAAATATATGACTTACGTACACGTGACATGTGTAATATTTCCTTTACAGTGAACGTTTAACAGCTAAAAATATATTTTAAAATAAAAGAAACCTCAATTTTTATTTATCAACAGAAATAAATATAATAATCGTAAATAAATATGTATCATAGATTGGCCCCTATTGTTTGGTAAATAAATATATATCATAGATTGGTCCCTATTGGTCCCTATTGTATAAAAAATCTATATATATATATATATAGAAATATCTATTTATATTTATAAATATCTATTTATATTTATAAACTATATTTTACAATATTTTACAATATATTATAAAATATATATTTTTTAGAATGTATTATATGTGTGCGTGCATAAAGATATAGAATCACATAAAGTATTTGTATAAAATTATTAAATTCTAAGATGTATAATTAACAAAAATAAAATTATTGATCTGTAAGATAATTGAAACTTGTTACATCTACTTTTTTTCCCGTTTTAGCTTAAGATTATTGAATCAACAAGAAAACTCATATCACTCTTGTATATGCGCGTGCGACAAGTGTATTTGACAAATAAATAACTCTTCAACAAGAAATGTGAGTGCAACAAGCCCGCGAAAATGGTAGTCGAATTAAAAAAGCAAGGTATGAGGTTTTACACAGAGCGATGGAAGTGCGTTCCCTGTTTCTCTTTCCTGTGATAATTTCTTCCCGATAGTACTTAACATGTCTCGGTAAACGCAAGCGGAAACGGGGTCTCTGGCCTTCTCGTACCTGATCGCGGTGGCGTGGTTCATTCGCGGCAATGGTGTTACACTCCCCAGAGTCGGCGGCGCGCCGCCGCGCCGGACGGCGGACGCGCTTTTGCTCGCTCGCTGAGAGGACACGCGACTTGTTGCTGCTGTTGTTGCTGCTGATGCACGACAGACGATCAACAACAACGTGTATAAGAAAAAAAGAGAAGTTCCGAGGAGGGTTCTCCAGCGAGATGGCGAACCCGAACCATCCTCGGCCGCGAGCGCGGCAACACTGACCTGCCATCACAGAGAAGGAGAGGAGAGAGGACCGTAACCCGGATAACAGAACCTCTCTCCTCCTGAGTTTCTCCTCTTTCTGCTGTGTTCGCGCTTCTCTCCTCTCCTTCTCTTTCCTGTACGCCGGCTCTCCTGCACGGCGTACATGTACGTGATATCCGACTTTACGGCGACCCTGCCGCAAGGGTAAAATTGATATTGAAGATAGCGTAAACTCTGTGGTAAACTGTACTCTTTCAAAAACGCGAAGATCTGAAGCGACGTAAACAACCTTCGCGCGGTTTTCATTCTAAAGGTCCCAAAAGGGAATACACGCGGTTTGCTCGCGCATTGACAGAAAAGAATTTTAAAACACTAGATTTGAATTGAAATCTTTCAGTAGTTTTACTCGCGATGCGAGTTGACAAGCGGACAGTTTTTTGAAATCTCACGTATCGCGGGAGGATCGAGACCAAACAAGGATTCAAATGTGAGAATACGTTCTGATGATTTCGCCGCCAGGAGGAGACACAACATCGACAGACGAAGAACGCGCGCTTCTTTCTGTTGCTTTCGAGTTTTGTTGCTCTCTGTGCCCGCGCTTTTTTGCACACATGAAGAAATGCGGAAGTTGAACAAACTGAAGTCACAGATGAGAAGATCAGCAGAAAAAAGACTCTATCTCTCTCTTCGCTCTTCTTCTTCCATTTCTTTTGTTCGAAACAACAAAAGTCGCGAGAAAACTCTATCGAGTCACCAATCAAGAAAAATGAAGTTCCCGGCTAAAGAGAACGCGCGTTGTTTTCGGATCAATGATCAGATTCCTTCGAGCTTTCTCTTCATTTCGGGGTCGTGAGATATAAAGAAGTATCGCGACAGACAGAAAAGGAAGCACTCTCTTTCTCCCCGTTATTTAAACACACACTCTTCAATTTGTTTTTTTTTTTTTTTTTTTTTTTTTTTTTTTAAAACATTTTTTTTTTTTTTTTATTATTTAAAACAAAGAAGTGTTACGTCCCGTGGACTCCACTTCCTCCTCGCGACGTGACAATAACAAGATATGATGATCACGGGAACGCAGCCGTGCGATACTGGGGCGAGACCGGATATCAATTCTCGATAGAGTCAAGAAACACAGAGTTTGCAAAATTTCTGTTTTTCTTTCTCGATAAATTTTCGTTTTTTTTTAATCTTAAACGAAAACATACATCCCCCCAATTTTTCGTCGTATGTTACGTCCTGGCCCCTGGAAACGGTCGGGCCAGGACGTAACAGAAGTTAACGAATATATTAGCGAATAATATATATTTTGAGTGCGAAGACGCGTGCCTAATTAATTTAAACTTTCAAATTACGCGTCTAATTGCTGTAGCGCTGAACTGAATTATGCGCTTGTGTAGTTTAACGAGAGCGCGTGATCGACAACAAACCGAGAGAGATATACCGCGTCGTCGCTCGCCGCTCGATGAAGCCTGAGAAGAGAAAAATGCTTGCGGGATATTGACTCCCGGTAAATCTCTCTAATCCGTTTTTTCTTTTTTTTCGCGACATGTTACGATACACGCATACAATTTAATCCGCACAACACATAAGTACACACACACACACAAGCCGCGATAATAACTTGATAGTCACTTACAAATCAACAAATTGGAGAGAATATATTTTAATAGCAATCTAATTTGGACTAGAGATACTTTACAAATGTTTTGTTACTGAAACAATAATTAAATATAATAATCAAATGAATTAAATAATGATCAAATAAACTAAATAACAATCAAAGTTTTTTAAAATGTGTGTGAATAATATAATTTTTCAAATCTCACTGTAATATTTTTTTTCTCGTTCGTAAAAACCAAAATTTCTAAAAAAACATCCCCTTGTTTTCGACGCTCCACGCCAGAATCTTCCTTTAGTATAAGTGCTATTATATTTTCATGTAAAAATATAATTGACGTAATTAAAAAATAGACTAAATATTATTGCACGAAACTTGTACCAATGTTTTTTAATTCTCTTAAAATTCATCTCTTATTTGCTCGATGAAGAGACCATCTCTCATATCGTATTTCTGTCACACAACTGCGATCCAAACAAGTATTTTTTTTTTCGCAGCCAAAAGATCCTGTTAGGCGAGATCGTATCTTCGCTTCGTATTTTCAAACCAAACAGAGATCTAACAAAAATTACCGAGATCGAGCACCCTTAAACGAACTCGAGCGCTATTCTTACCTGATAGCGTGTCACTGACCGAGGGAGGGAAGGGGATACACTCACATCATCCCACGCGTAAAAGGCTTAGAAGCGCCGAGGACGCTCTGAATCGGTGACAACGACGCCGCGCGATCGTGCCGGTTCTTCTCTTCTGATGCGGGACATATAGGCGCTACCGTGCAGCGGGAACAACGTATTGTTACGTTCGTCAGCTGCTGCTTCGCTCGGAGCTACAATCATCGAGAGGGGAAGCAGGAGGGGGCACGAAGCCGGCTTCACCGTAGAGAAGGGTACGAAAGGCGAGAGAGGCAAAGGGGCAATATATAGTCGACGAGAGAGACAAAACCGGTGAAAAACCTGCGGGCGAGGGGAGAAGAAAAGGAAACGAGGCGACAGTTCGTTGATTACGTTCATATATAAAACTCGGCCCTGTCACACGTAACACTCATCAGTTCAATTACTTCCAATAAAAGAAAGATAATTAACCGATTAAACCGTAGATGGAAAAAGTTTGCTTTCTTGTGAAGGAATAGATTAAGGAACCATTTGGAAGATAAAATAAATTAAATATAGATTACACGCGAGAAAAAGTGTGCTGGTAAAAAAAAAAAGAAGAAACGATTGTACTTGTACGAAACTGTATTTAGAATATTGTTTTTAATGTGTAAATTAAATCTTCCAACTCTCAATGGAGTTTAAGCTCATTATTAAATATTCCTATAGCGCTGGTTCTACATTTTATTAAAAAAAAAAAAACTAAAAAAATGATAGCTAATTAAGTGGCCAATTTATTTAAGCCAAAAATGACTTCAAGTCGGGGAGTTAAACTTTTGTTATACTTTTTGTCGTGAGAGAACGATATAGTTAACTCTTTTAAAAGAAGAAAAAATTAGTTATACATATATATGCGTGGATACATACATATATAAATATTGTATATTTTGTATTTCTGTTTTATATACAAATTCTGCATTTTGAATTTTGCGCACATAGTTGAAACAATATTGTGACTGGACGGTGCCGCCATTATGCGCAATGCCACCTTGTATTTTCACCTCGTGCGTCTATCAACATCGCACAGTGCACACCGCACATCGATCCATTTGTTTACGGAGGTCGTCTGCTAGATCGACATTTGACGTTTCTCGACGTTTATAACGAGTTATGCTGTGAGAAAAGCGCGCTTGTATGTGACTGCTGCGGACGAACGAATCCGCGATGCCGGGGACCGAAGTTAGTATCATGTTCTGTGTGTGTATGCGGCAAATATATCCCAAATATATCAAGATAATTGCAGTCTCGCGTTTGACGTTTCAAATTCATGAGCTGATGACTAATCAGAGTTGAAAGCTTACATTCAATATTTTAGTGTTTATCGTTAACTATTAATTATTATGTAGTCAATTATTTAACTAAGTTATTTGAAGCGCGTAATTATCAATTTTTATTGTACAATTTTTTTCTATTTTTCACGGTTTAGAATACCTGAGTACAAATTGTATTATAAAGAATTGAGAAATATCTCTAGAATTCACAAGTTACTGTATTGATATTTTTCTGAAGAAAAAATTTGTAGAAACAATTCTCTCTCTCTCTCTCTCTCTCTCGCACAGAGTACATGTAACATTTCTCTGTTTAGGAGAGTACAACGGAGCTGGGAGAGATAGAGAATGTCAGAGTAGTGGTGCGAGTTCGCCCATTGAGCAGCAAGGAACTTGAACTCCGCAGTAAAAACATAATAGAAATAGATGCTTTGAACGGCGAGATCACCATAGAGAATCCAAACGCAGCGCATGGAGAACCGCCAAAAGTCTTCTCCTTCGATGCTGTGTTTGACACAGACTCGACCCAGGTGGATATCTACAACGAAACAGCCAGGCCGATAGTTGACAAAGTGCTGCTAGGCTACAATGGAACAATCTTCGCGTATGGTCAAACTGGCACCGGCAAGACTTATACCATGTCCGGTGCGAAAACCTCCCCACAGGCCAGGGGAATCATTCCAAACACATTTGCACACATCTTCGGACACATAGCTAAAGCTGATGAAAATCAAAAGTAAGTCATATTACTGATGGTAAAAATTATATACACTTTAAATAATATCATGTATATAAAATAAATTATATTCACAGTGATATAAAACAACAAATGATGATTGTGTTAATAAAGCTTTTTAGTGCGTGCAACATACTTAGAAATCTACAATGAGGAAGTTCGCGATTTACTTGGTAAAGATCAGAACACACGGCTTGAAGTAAAAGAAAGACCAGACATTGGAGTGTTCGTGAAGGATTTGAGCGGATACGTGGTAAACAATGCTGACGATCTGGACCGCATAATGTCTCTAGGCAATAAAAATCGTGAGCAAAACCCGATATTTCAGAAACACCAATGCATTTTGTACACATTAACAGTAATCCTAAATTTGATATAATCCTAACGTAGGCGTTGTTGGAGCTACTGCCATGAACGTGTCCAGTTCGAGATCGCACGCAATATTTACAATAACCGTCGAATCTAGTCAAATTGGTGAAGATGGGGAGCAACATGTAAAAATGGGAAAACTTCATTTGGTGGATTTAGCTGTACGTTTAACAAAAATTATATGTTTACGCATATTTATTTCAAATACGTAAGAATTTTGGATATTTGCGTTTTCTTCCAGGGATCAGAGAGACAAAGCAAGACGAAAGCAACAGGTCAACGACTTCGCGAAGCTACTAAAATTAATTTGTCGTTATCCACTTTGGGCAACGTAATATCCGCACTAGTTGACGGTCAAAGTTCTCACGTGCCTTACAGAAATTCCAAACTGACCAGATTACTTCAGGATTCGTTAGGCGGAAATTCGAAAACGTTGATGGTAACTGATATAAGTGTTTTGTACATTAAGTTTTGTTCTACAAACAAAGTATTCAGGAATTTTATAATATTGTAATGTTGTAATTTAGCAAATTTTGTTTGGAGAGCGAATCTTTAATAATATTGATTTGCAGTGCGCAAACGTCAGTCCAGCCGATATAAACTATGACGAGACTATAAGCACCTTACGTTACGCAAATCGCGCGAAGAATATTAGGAATCGTGCGAGGATTAACGAGGATCCGAAAGATGCTCTGCTTCGTCAGTTTCAAGTCGAAATTGAACAATTGCGCAAGCAATTGGAGGAAAATGGCGCGGAGCTCTCGGAATCCGAAGAAGAGTCTGAGGATTCGGAAGAATCGAAAGAGATCAAGCGAGATAAGAAAATTCGACGTAGAAGGAGTCAGATATTGTCGGTGGAAGAGCTAGAAGACAAAGATACAGATTCGACGGAGAAGGTCGATAAAGCCGAGAGAGAAGATAAGAGTCCTGTAGACAAAGATGTTATTGAATTAAAGAAGACTCAGTAAGTTTTATCATACAATTATATACAAATAATAACTAAACAACTTTGTAATTTGACTTTTATACACACAGGAGCGAAAAAGAAGCCTTGCGGGAAAAGATGCAAAATTTACAGAATAAGATATTAGTAGGTGGTGAGAATCTACTGGAAAAAGCGGAAGCTCAAGAGCAATTGTTGGCAGCTGCGGCAATAGAGCTTGAACAGCGAAAGAGCAGAGAAGAGCAACTGAAAAAGGCTATCAAGGCGAAGGAAGCAGAGCGCATTGATATCGAAGAAAAATACTCATCTTTACAGGAAGAAGCCGCTGGAAAAACTAAAAAATTGGCACGGGTATATACGATGCTGATGTCCGTCAAAGCGGAATTATCCGATTTGCAGCAGGAACATCAGAGAGAAATGGAAGGTCTTCTGGAAGGTGTGCGGGGGATCGGAAGAGAATTGCAGCTCCAGAATCTGATTGTGAATCATTACATTCCCGTTCAGTATCAGGTTTGTGAAAATATCCAAGTTGAATGATACGAAGAAAATAACTGAAACAAAATAAGTTTTCAAAACATTAAAATAATAAATAATGAAACTTATTCAAGGTGAATTAACTGGTGTTGTAATAAATATTTTTTTACTACTATTTCATTAAAAATAACTTAATATGTTGCTTAAATCTCATCTTTATGATACGATCACAGACAATGATTAAGAGATACGTTCACTGGAACGAGGATATTGGCGAATGGCAGCTGAAATGCGTGGCTTATACGGGAAATAACATGCGCAAAGCACAGACTGTGCCATCGGCGGGAAATAACAAAGACGTAAGATACATACGCTGTTAAATCTCCGATCGCGTAAAAATTTTCCAGTTAATTATAAATATTGCATCAATCATTTGTTCTGTGTGTTCACAGACAATGCCGTGTGACATGTCGAATATATATCTGTCTTACAACACCGGAATAGACACTGCATTTGTGCAGCCGAAGAGAGTAAGAAGCCGTTCCGGCGTTCCCAGGCCAACCACGGCGCATCGACGTACGCCACACTGAAGACAGAAACGATTTTCCGTTGTGGAATATCACGGAAGTTTATCTCTCCTTTTCTCATACTTTTGTAGATCTTTTTGTTTTTATTTAAGACTCGCATGTTTACGTTGCGATATTGATACACGGTGATGTCAAATAATATTTTTATCGCTCTCTCTTCTATCATGTGTTATTTTTAAGACTTTTTGTTCTTTTTTTATAATATACAGAGATATTACATAGTATACAAAGTATACAAAGAGTATATCACATATATGAAAATTTAGTTAATTAACAAGATTATGTAGTTTAACACACTAATCAGTAGGAACGCTATTTATTTGACTAGATTTTTTTCGTCGAATTCACTTTGAAATATATGACGTAATAGACACAAAGTATTTAATCTCTAAAAGTATTTGACTTTTTAATTTATAATATATAATGTAGTACATCTTTAAATATATAAAAAACATTATATGTTTAAAAAAAATACTAGAACTGCATCTTTGTAATTAATTAACATTATAGGAGAGAGTTCAATAGTAATGTGGAAAACGATCTATCTAAAAAAACAAAATTCATTAGAAAAATAAAAATGATGTTGTACCTGTGGAATGAAACAAAGTGAAGATTTTTTGAGAAAAGATCAATAATTATATATAAAATCACATACAACATATGTACACGAGATATATTTATGGATTCTGTTTAAAGTCTGATACTTCTAAGAAAATCTTGTAGAAATCGTATATCTCTTAATTTTAATTGTTTATACTCTCGATATGATTTTTCCAAAGAAATATTGCGTATATAAAAAAAATCATATAAAGTGATTAAGATATAAAACAGTATAATAACGCATTTGTAATTAATGTCACATATTATATCGTACAATAATCTCGATGGCATTATAAATTTATACTTACTGAAGCCATTTTTTTTTTTTTTTTTATGTGCTTTAGTGATACGAGATTTGTGACAAGTAGTTGAAAACAACGCAAATATGAGATTCATTTTAAGTTTTTGCGTTTTTGTTCAGGAGTATTGTTTTCTTATAGTCTTTTAAAGCTCGAAGGCAAAAAGTAATACGCATTTATTTATTATTTATCTGTGATATATCGATAAGCTTTTGACACACGTTTTCGATTGAGTTTTTGAAGAGACTTCATTTAGGCGCACGCTGATAGTAGTCAGTTCTGAATATTTATTGTTGTGTTGCGGTGTGTGTCTATCTTGTTTTTGTATTTATAATTTTAACAAATAAAGAAAACTTTTTTTCAACACATAACAGAGCAAGTTACACTTCGATCATTCCGTGACCTTTTTTCACTCGTCACATCAAACTTTAGAAATCTTAAGTCTGATACTCCTGGATCCACTTTGTGATGGAATATCGATGAAACCTGCGCGTCTGAACAACGCTGTACGGATCGTTGCTGTTACTTTCTCGTAAGTCAAGATGATGCGCAGCGTCCGGAATCAATATGGCAATTGCCGACGAGGACAGGTTGCTTAGCACACCTCCGCTCGCCCATGGATCCAATAATCCATTACTAAAATATATACCCAACCATGTGTATAAGACTTGGAAATACATACATGAGTTTTAATATAAATCTCGAAATTTGTCAAAAGCGTATACATACTTTTGTATAAATTTATTTACTTACCTGAAGTTAATGTTGGTTGCAGTGGAGAGATTTGCGCATCCATACTGATGACACACCAAATAAGGCTGCGGTGATACGGAATATTTTTTAAAACAGGTGTCATTGTAGTTTTTGAAGTTCCATTCAGCCGGCTCGAACATATCGTTCACACCGTCGGTACACATTGGCATCACCATTTCCGTGCACGCTTGATAACTCCATCCCTGATCCGCGTCCAAATTTGGCTCCGCGTTTTTTGTGGATATGCAAGTCGCTTTATTAGTATAATTCGTGTAAACACTAATAGCTCGATAAAGCGCCAACAACAGTGGCTTTCCCGTCAACGAAGAGTTCGTCAAATGCCGACAAAATGCCTGAGTAAACAGAAAAAATTCGCATCAACATTCGTTGCAAATAGGGATAAAGTTAAAATTCTCAAAGTGCTCACGTTAATCGGATTGCCTGGCAGTGGCGCTAAGAAGTCAGTCTCATAGGGATAATTGACCATAGCCAGATCTATGTAAATGTCTTGCAGAAAGTCTTTCAGCGTATTGATATTCTCTACAGTTTTTAACGGCTCGCACAGCTTCCAATTATCCGACAGCCATTTTTTACCCTCATCTAAGAGCATAAAATAATAAATTAGAAAGCGGATATAGAGCGTTGCAATTATTAGAGAATGTTAAAGAAATTTAATTTTTATGTTTATTTACCGTTTGAGGTCACTTCGGTTATCGTGCTCCACGCTCTGTGGATAAGTTGCGGACACGTTGGATTCGAGGCGCGAAAGTCTGACGTTGCTATTCGAGCAAATGCCTCGCACGACACGATATCTGTAAATTGCAGGATTGGCGCTGAGGCTGCAATCGCACTGGAACACACGTTGATAATATTGCTCATATGTGTACGTACAGAGTGTACATATACTTACATTATTATTAGCGCGATATTACTTTATCATTTAGTGATGTAATCATACCCCTGAACGATGTGAGGGTACTTGATTCGCATCCAGGCGCTGAGCATACCGCCATAAGAGCCACCAAAAACTATGACCGGGCTGCGATTATATTCGGGCTTTGATCTCAAATGCTCGATAAGCTCCACGTAATCAACCAGAGCTTGCTGAGACGTCAGATATCCGAGGTGTCGTGGATCTGCGAAAGATTTGTTCCCATACGGCAACGATTCGCCGTAATAACGATGCTCGGCAAAAATGACTAATGCGCCGAATTCTGGTGCAATTTCCCATATGAAACCCTACTAGGAATATTTTTAATTAATTAAATTTAATTAAGAAATATATGTATAATCTTTTTTAATAAATATTATCGATATGTACGTACACATACGCGCGCGCGCAATCTCAATAAGAAACCCGTAATCTATGTGCGATAAAAATGTATACCGCCAAATATAATTAGTACTTCCTAATCAAGTTACTTTTTTGTATTTAATTAAGAGCGCGATTAGATAATATGCTACATTTGCATGTTAATTTTATATACATATGTACAACAAGACGGTGGCTCTTACGGTATTTTCGGCAAAATGTTCGATATTGCCTTCATTTCCGGTATAAAAGAATATAGGAGCATTGTTTGTTTTTCGCCAAGTATCGTTCATTAGATATCTCAACTCGAAGGTATCCTGTACGGCGAAGCTAAAGTGATCTACCTGGAAAACAAAATGTGCCAGTTAATGGAAAAAAAATAATTAAAAATCGTTAATTTCATACAAATTATTAATATATATATACATATATATAAATTAGTTTACATATATATAAATAATAAATAATAATATATCTATAAATAATAATATATACTAAACTATAGAATCCAAAATTTATTATTATGCACTAAATAGTTTATAACTCTCATTATTCGAATATGATTTCCAATTCGCTATGTATATATGTATCAAGATTATTTTCAAGTCATAACAATATAATAAAGTGTCAATTGTTTTGATAACTCACGCGCATGTTGATCGTTTTGATCTCGTATTTGTATCTAGCGCTATGCGTCGGCGCGGTGTAATTGACCGCCGTTCGCCGATCCTCAATGAGTTTATTTCCGACCGACGGCTGACACATCGCAATCACAAGCAACAAGAGCATCCCCAGTTGCGCGTCCATGATGCAAAGAGATCCGTGTTCTCACTAGAGAACTCGCTTACTGTTTGATGCTCCGACACCGCGAGTCGGTAGATCCGCTCCACTGCCCTGTGACGCGTAAAATCCACACATGGAGGGGTGGTGTCGCAGAACCAACCGATTAACTCTCCGCATATATCTGATGTGTGAGAGTGCTCTCACACTTTCCGTTACTTTGCTTATAAATCCCACACTACTTTCAAAATAATCTTCTTTCCCTGAAATTGAGTAAATCACTCGATGACTGACACTTTAAAGAGAGAGCTGTCTTTTTTTTTTTCAAGAGCTCCAACTAAAAGATTCGAAAACAAAAAACATTGTTACAAAATCGATATTAGCCTAATGTCAAATAAAAAACAATCATAGAAAAATGTTAACAAACTGGAAAAAAATCAATAAATTAACTATAGATTCGTTAATCTACATATTACTTCATTTTTATACATACATACATACATTTTACTTGAAATTTCTCAATATCTTAGAGAAAAAAATATCTTGTTGAGAGATTCAAAACCTCAATATTTCTGCAGAGTACTGTCTTATAAATTATCAATATAGAGATACAAACATATAAAATAATACTCTCTGATATTATTTTTATGTGTTTATCAGAGACGGTTTTCGCTTTTTACATTTTCATATTTCTGAAACACACATCATAATCATAACGACACACTTCGACTGTGACACATAAATTCTTTATTACAAAAAATAAATTAATTCATTTTACTTACAAAAAAAATACATAAGTATAATTTTTGTGATATATAATTATTATTAATAATACTTCTCTATATCCAGTGATAACATACACCGGGTGAAAATGAATATTATCTATATTTTTAAAAGCATATAACACAAAATATCTCTTTTTCAATCTTACTATTATAGAGAGAATTATATATACATATTTATTTAATTTATATCTTATTTCGCGACTCTTAGCCGATATATCACACACACATATATATATATATATATTTGTATATATATATACATATAATTGTGGTGATTTTTTTGAGAATTGCACACATTGTTTGATAAAGTAGACAAATTGTATAAAAATTACGAAAGATAATCAAAATAGAATATATATTATGGCATTTTCTCTATCCTAATCAAACTGTTTTAATTTTAATTTTGCCTCACATACCAAGAATCTTTTAATACACTTTTTGGACGTTTAGCTAGTTACAAGAATTTTTCTATACAGAACATGTGTCCCTACATTGTGATTTCACTTTGTACAATTTTCAATAAGAAGGGAGAGAGAAGGCAATAACGAGCCATACACATGATGTTCGGGTAAAATTCTTTTTTAGTCAGAGATTTGACAAACGTTTCGATCCATTATGGAATCTTCTTCAGTGTCTATGCATACCAGTTTGAGGAAAGAAAGAGGAAGGAAGGCAAATCTCTGAATAAAGAAGAATTTTACACCCGAACATCAGGTGTACAGCTCGTTATTGCCTTCTCCCTTCCTTATACAGATAAGATAAACAGTTTTCCAATATAAGTCAATATAGTCTTTGATGAGACCAGTGAATTGTATCAAAATATATCAAATATATTTAAGTCACAATGGGAGATGAGACTCAATATTTTTCTTAAAATCTATATTTTGATTTTCTCTCTTTCTATCGCTTACTTTCGTAAGAGAAAAAAGAGGGAAAGATCTGACAGAGATCCAGTCTTTTTTTTTTTATTATGTCATAATAATGCTCGGCACGTGACTAAAGCTTTTCTTTTTGTTCGTGAGCTTATAATTATGTATACTGTCCCGTTCCAAGATATATAGACGAGATTCGTAAACCTATATTGATTAATAAAAAAAACGCGATTTCTATTTTTACAATATTGCGCTCGTATAAACAAAATATTTGTAAACGTTACGCTATATCTCGAGTATTATTCGCATAATAATAATTGTACTAGATTTTCACTTATCTTTATATTAATATATTATGACGTAAGACTAAAAGAGAAAATGTTGTACAATAACGCTTGAACTTAACCCTAATTCTGAACCATATTTTTGACACCCTAAAAAAACCTTGAATCTTACATGCTTTTTTTTTTTTAATTTTAACATATTAAAAAAATTTTGCAAAACTGGCATGTTCTTTCAAGTGTCTATAATAATGTCCCGTTGTTAAAAAAAAAAAAATTACATAATTTGATTTTAATAATTTTTGAGAGGACAAAAAAAACATGAATTCAGAATTACAGTTAAGAACAAGAAAAGATATCTAGCCTCTCTGTAACTATTGTATCTTAACTTATTTTTATCTTATCTTATCTGAGAAGTTATATTACATATTTAGAAAATACTTGGAAGTATGCGCGTACTTCAAGATTTCTCTTTGTACTTCAGGCTATAATGTTCACATTGTTTTGCTTTTTCGGCGAAACGATCTTCGGATTTTTTGCTTTGTGCAGCGTATTCTTCGTCGTAATTCCGACAATTTTGTTGAGCTTGCTCCATGATCTTTTTGTATTCTTCCCTCACACGTTTAATTTCATCCGAAAAAAATTCTCCTTTCTTTGTTGAGAGATTCTAAAATTTAAACACATTTCTATTTATTTCTGAAATGTTTGTAATATTTTTAACTTCATATGAGTTTATTTTTATTCTATGCGTTTGTCTGTCATAATCAACGTAATCGAACGACGTTGACGTCTCTTAAATATTTACCTTGTAATTGGATGCGGTGAGCTTCGCTTCTTTATACTTGTGTTTCAAAAAATTTAAATTACTCTTCAGATGTTTCTCGATATTTTTCAGTGCCACGATTTCGTTGCTCAATTTCTGTCTAGCAGACTTCAGTTTCTCTATTTCCCTGTCTTTTTCCTCTTTTAGTTTTATTATTTCCTTGTCTTTTTCTTCCTCCTTAGTTTTGATCTCTTTAAGCTCAGTTATCCATTTAGTCATCATTTGGGTCATCGAGTTTTTATCCACGTCAGCTTCGTTTTCTTTTTCCCTCAAATTTTTTTCCAGTTCTTCGATCTTTGATTTCTGTGCTTGCAGCTCTTGATCGCGAATTTCCAGTTGTTTACTTAGTAGTTGACTGATTTGGCTGATCTCGTTAACTTTCATCTTCTCTGTTATTATGGCCTTTTCCAAATCTTTTATCTCATTATATTTCTCATTATATCTTGCCTGATATTTTTGCTCCAGTTCTTTTTTCTTCTGCTCTTCAATTCTTCTAAGCTCCTTCGTTACTTTTTTCTCCATTTCTTCTCGCATTTCTTTTGCAATACTTTCTTTCATCTTCTGGAAATCTGTACCGGCGAAATCGCCTGTATTACGAGGAGACAGATTCAGTTCCGCCGACAATTTGTGCTGGCTATTGACATATTGTTCGAATTGCTTGGCTTGATTTTGCAATTTTACAAGCAGCGTGTCTCTCTCATCTTTGATTTTTTCAAAGTCTGTCACCAACCTGCTCAGTTTCTCGTCTTTGTCTCGTAACTCCTGCTCGAGAAGTTGTAATATTCTCTTCTCCGACACAACCGATTCGTTTCCTTCCTTCGAGTTACTCTGTTTGGATAATTGCACAATAAAATCCTTATAATGAGAGAGTTCTTTCTCAAATTCGCTCTTCAAATTTAACACTACCTCATCACTTCTCCGTAACTTTTCTTCAAGGCTGTTGCTTTTTTTCTTCACGTTAAACAATTCCGTTTCCAATTCAAAAATTTTCTTCTCACACTTGTCTTTCTCATCGAGAAGATCGTTGCATTGACTTTTCAATGTTTCGTTTTCTGTTTGTAGCTGAACGACTTTTAATTTTACATCATCTGATCCTTCTAATTTTGCGGTACGTTTCATATTAGATACTTCTGAGTTTAATTTGGAAACTTTGCTAAGAAGAATCTTTTTCTCACCAACGACTTTTTCATATTTTTGTTTATATGTTTCCTGAGAAATCTCCATTTGCGCTATTGTTATTTTAGCGTCATTCAATTCCGTTTGATATTCCGATAACTTCTTCTGTTCTTCTACGGCGATTTGAAGCTTTTCTTCCAAACGTTTACAATCTTCTTCTAACTGCAATAAAACAAAGACGAACATTTGAATATATCGAACAAACAAAGATAGGTCTATATATCAAGATATATCGACATATTTATATATAAACTTGAAAAGTATAATACCAGTATGTTAAGATTTAGATAAAATATGTGTTGAATATATTTGTATGTAAAAACACTTCATTCTTTTACCTGATGAATCTTTTCCAAGTGCTCGGAACAATGGTCCGGCAAAAGAACACTTATCTCTTGATTGGGATACGCATTTCTTAATTCGCGCAAAGCTTCTTCTTTAGCTTTAAAAAGAATAATTAATTAGTTAAGAGAAATCAACATTCAAAACTCATTTTTTTTTCTATAGAAGATTATATTTCTTATACGATTCAGTATACGTACCCCTTTCTATTTCAAAATATATCTTTTTTGTATAATCTTCTTTTTTCCGTTTCTCATATGTCAGATTTTTTTCCAACTCGATTATTTTATTTTTATAGTCCTCGCATTCTTTCACCAGCTTATTACGTAATTGAATTTGCGTTTCCAAGTCAATCTGTAATTTTTCAATATCCTTCTGATGCAATTCTATCGAAGCATATTTTTCCTTCATCATTTTGATTTCGTGTTTGTGCTCGGTTATTAAGTGTTCCTTTGTTCCACAAACATCTATATACATTTCTTTCACGCGCTGTAACTCTTTTTGAGTTTGTTCCAATTGTACTCTAAAATACAGAAATTCTATCTATGTTTATATACACCCCCACATATAAACACATGTATAAAATAGATACAAAAACCAACTTGTACTTACGATAATTGTAGTATTTCTTTTTGTGACTCTTGTTTCACTCTTTCTATAGCTTGAGCGTGAATTTCTAAGTACTCTTTATTGTACTCGCTAATAACTTCTTTTTCTTGCTGTTCCATAGTCTCTTGATGTACTTTTTTAAGTTTTTCCTCGTTAACAGATAAAGCTTCCTCCAATTTTTTTTCCACATTAATTTTCTCATTGCGCAACGATTCGCATTGTCTTTTTACATCAGTCAAATGATCCGATAATTTTTTTATTTTAGCTTCCGCTTTTCTAGCTTGATCCGTTAATACAGATTTTAATTCCTCTTCCAGTTCGTTAACTCGGTTGGCGTATCGCTTCGCTTCTTGTTGAGCTGCGTTCAACTCTATTTCTTTCTGCGACAAAGTATTTTCCAGACGATTTATTTCTTTTCTCTTATCAGCATGGTTAGCCATACATCTAAAATCAATCATAAACAGCATTAGAAATAAAATAACGACTAAAAATATTATAATGATTTTAACAAAATATAGTTAAATTACTTGTACAGTTCACTTCTCAATTTATTTGTACTGTCGTCACATTTCCATTTGGATTTATGTTCTTCGAACTTCATCTGTCTCATTGAGTCAGATTCGTTCTCCAAAGTCGTAGCTAGTAACGAATCGTATTGCGTTACGTCACTTTTAGCCAGCTCCAGTTTATTCTATAAATAATTGCATAATAAAAATCTCTCTCGCTAATTTTTGATAAAAATCGACAATATTTAATCACCTGCAGCTCTTGTACATGTCTGTGCAACTCGTCTTTTTGTTGAGTTAATTTTTTTACTTGTGCTTGCAACTGTATCACTTGCTGAGGGTCGTTTTGGGCCATGAGATTGCGACATTGAGCCTGACTTTCTTCCAAAACTTGGGCCAAACGATTCATAGTATCACCTTTCTGTACTATGAGAATCTCGTTGGCTCTTCGTTCATCAGTCAGTTTACGCTCAAGACCAATATATGACATTTCCTATTAAAAATTATATAAATTAAGTAACACTGTATATTAAAGATCGAATGTGTAAATCAAGATAAGTGACATTTTAAACGTATCTATTTTATCTTGTTTTACATCTAAGCCTTTTATAAAAAGTGTATATATTATAAAAAAGTAAATATTTAGGTACAATTTAAAATTATATATAATTGCTGGAAAAATATTTATATAAAATAACAGTTTCTCTCGCGTATTAAAAATAAAATACGTAATCTTGCAATTGTGAAAACGATTATTAGAGACTTGCCCAATTATTGCTATTGTTGCTGATGTCCATATTGAGCAGCTATACAAATATGATTTTATAGAGAAAAAAAAAATATATATACATACATATATATGAAGTAACAGATATAATTTAAACAAAGAATTCAGATATACCTTCGCGTTTAATTTTTCTGTAAGTTGATCTATCTGAGTCTGCATATTCTGCATTTCAACTGCATGTTTTTCCTGAACTTGTTTCAGAAACTTCTCATGCGTCTTGTCAGTTGTCTGTAATGCTTGTATTCTTTCTAATACAACAATTTTTTGTTGCAGATCGTTGACAGAACCTCTTGCAACATTTAAGTCTTGCGTTATCTATAAAAGTAATATTGATAATCGATATTTTATATATTTATGATGTGATTTACGATGACAAAAAAAATTATACATATCTTACGTTTTGATTTGTTTTTTCCAAAACTGCATTTTTGTCTTCTAAAGATTTTATTTGGTTTTGCAGATCATTTATTTCAGCCTTAGCGTCAACTAAAAAAATAAAAGTGAAAAGAAATACTGATAAAATGTTATATATTATTCTGATTTTGTTATTATTTTATATAAATAGAGATATATTAAATAATTCACTTTCTAAAATCTTACCGAGTGCAAGCTGTGCTTGATCCCTTGATATATTTGCCCTGTCAACATCTGCTTCCAGCATCATCAATTTCCTGGTCATTTGATCTTTTTCAGACTGCAATTGTTGCATTTGTTCTGTTAAGCGGTTAATTTCTTTCATTCTGACCATGTATAATACTTCCAATTGCTCTTTGCTGTTATACTCTGCTGTTTTATATGCTACATCGTCATTTAGCGGCGTGCCATTTGGACTAGTCTTGTAGCAATGATTCATATGATCTGAAATGCCACCAAACTCATGGGTGCTATTTTGTACATTATTCTCGTACGTGTCGGTAAAACCATTATTTGAGTATTTAGCAGGTATATGAGTATTATAATGGTTTGATGGTGTCTGTTTATAATTGTAAGTATCATTTTCATTTAACATACGTTCTTCTACCAACTGCGGATGCACTTTGCGAATGTATCCACCAGGTGGTTTTGCTAATTCAAATGGTGTTTCAAGCACTGTGCTCTCATTCGTACTATTATTTTTATTATACGGTGTTTCCGTTTGTCTATAAAATTCCATATCATTTTGAGTGTCCAATCTATGATTGGTTATCATATTGTTTGGAATTACTGCATCGTATGTGTCAAATTCTTTCTGTTGTTCTATATGACCTTGAGGTGTAATCAATTCCATAGCAGAGTCAACTACTGTATTTGTATAATCTGTCTCCCTAGTACTGTCATCATGACTACTCTCAATAGAACTGGCATCATCATCATTTTCCAGATCATTAAATGCAGTTGTCATAAGATTCTTGATCTGCAAAAGTAACAAATATATTATTAATCTAAAATTTGTAGATTATTTTATAATTTTTTTCTTATATCTATCAAATTATATATAAAATATAAAATTATACATGTGTGTGTGTGTGTGTGTACAGATAAATATTAGATATAGAATGTTTCAAAACTGCATTTAACATTAAAAAATATATAAATATATATGTAACCTGTTTTTCTGGTTAAATATGTATGTATGTATATTTATTAAGTTTCATACTTAATGACTCAATATATATATGTAAATAAAAATGTTGACTTTTTAAATATGTTTTTCTATATGTTGACCTTATTGGTAAATTATATATTTAGATTCTTGTATACTTGTGAAAGTATACAAGATTATATGTTAGAGAGTGCTACAAAAGACAACTTTTTATGTCAATATATAAACATCTTCTGTCATTGATCTTTATGTTGTATACTCTGTATAGCTTTTTTCCATTATAACAAACAATGTATCATATATTATGTTTCTTGATTTTGATCATTTTTATATACACCTACAGTATGTTTTATTAAAAAAAATCTTTGTGTTCTTTTTTTATGTACTAAAATAAACATAATAAAAGTACTTGATGAAAAAGATCCATACACTGGACTTGACACTTTATTCTCCTAGTGTATGTATCAAATGCTGTATCAGGCAGTTTTCCGCATTGAAATCTTATACTAGCGAGACTAAAAAAATATTCTTTTTTTTTCTAATTAAGTATCTCTCAATCGTGAGAGATCTTCTGCGGCAAAGTTTTCGCAAGATTTGTTTTCTCGCCTCAAGCATTAGCAAAAATATACAGAGAAAATTGCAATCGAGAAAAGAAGAGACGCATTTTACCTCCTCTTCGCGTCGCTTCTTATCCTCTTGTTCTTCATCTTCCTCGAGCCTCTGCGTATTCAGTTGTATGCTGTTCGAGCCCTGAAACAGGCTCAGCCCCGGGCCCGTATCCATACCCTCACGCCGGTTAGCACTTAGCTCACGACCAACGATTGCGGTTCGCGAGATCGACGGACGCGTCTATTGTGCGCAGCATATTTTTGTTTATACGTCCATAACCTAGACGCAACAAGTGGGTCACGGTGTACACACACATACGCGATATAGATATACGGGTCGCTACCGCGTCGCGGTAACGCGCGCGACAACGAACACGGGAAGTGCGTATCGCGACGCGCACATATCACCCACGATCACGGGGGAATCGGCGAATGGCTGCTGAGACGACGATTACGCGATTACTATTTGCATACGCTACCGAACCGCCACTGTAGTCTGTAGAAACAGAATTTCTCTTGACTCAAGTCGATCGGCTCTCACCACTTAAGTTCTCGTCTCGCGCGGCAGCTAAAAACCGATTGAAAATTGACAAATCATCAGGAAACGAAAACCAATCTAATACGATTTTGTAAAAATTGTTCCTGTAGAATTGACCAATCACATTGATCGATTGGACGAATTATAACCAATGTGATTGGCCGATTTCACGAAAACGGTTGTTTCCCAAACCGGATGTCAACCGATGCCGTGTGAACGTGATCAGTCATGCGGGGTTGAATCGTCCCGAGTTATGCACTTACGCTTTATGTCTAAGCTGCATTTAAAAAAAAAAAGTAATTATCTGTCAATGAAGACAACGTTTGTATTACGAGTTATATCGAAATAGTTTCTGACATGAAAGCGATAATACAACGAGTATCAAAGGCTTCAGTTTCAGGTAAAATCCTGTAGCTTAAAAATGACATTTTTGTATATCTCATATGTCTTAGATACATATTTAACACTTTTTATAATATGATAATTAAAATTCGTGTTGTATTATTTAATGATAGTAAGGTCTAAGTATAATTTTCAGTTGACGGACAAGTTATTAGTAGCATTGGAAATGGGTTGTGTGTGTTAATTGGTATAAAGAGAGATGACGGAGCTGTAGATGTGGAATATATGTAATGAGAATATATTTAATAATGTGTAAATTATAATTCATATACACATATCAATATTTATATGCGTACAAACGTGAAATTTTTGTGCTGTGTAGAATAAGAAAAATATTGAATACCAAACTTTTTGATGATGACAAGGGTAAAAGATGGGGTGCCAGTGTAGTGGATAAAAAGTATGAAATATTATGTATTAGTCAGTTTACTTTGTACCATGTTTTAAAAGGAAACAAGTTAGATTTTCATAAAGCTATGCCTGCACAAGAGTCAGAACCTTTTTACATGAATTTTATTGCTGAACTTCGTAAGAAGTATATGCCAGAATTAATTAAAGGTAACTGTCATTTTCACAGCACAGTTGTGTGATTTATCTTATATTTACTTTGTTCAAAAATGTGTGCAAAAAAATGTGTTAAAATTAAAAATCAATTTTTGATAAACATATGCAGATGGTAAGTTTGGTGCAATGATGGAAGTTTGCATACAAAACAGCGGACCAGTAACAGTGGAAATAGAATCTCCAATAAAATCCATTTCAAATAATGACACTGGAAGTATAGAAAACAGAAAGAAAACAGATTAAAAAAACGTACTAATTATGTATATAACTGACAAGTTCAATAAACTTATGCCAATCTTGATATCAATGAATGTATTTATTTAACCTGATATAAATATATAAACTACTGTACTTCAAAGTTTTGGAATCAAACTCTTGATATATTAATAACAATAACATAATTCTTGTGTAAGATTTTTTAGTATATTTGTATTGAACTCAAGAAAGTTATACTTTGTTATTGTAATATACTATATGTTTTATTTGTTATATTTGCTGATAAAAATTATATGTGTACACATATAGGTAAAATAAATTTGTAAATTTTGTTTTTTTCAGATATTGAGACTAATAAATTATAACATTTAACTACACATTTAATATTTGATCATGGCAACTGCTAAAGAGGAAACTACATTACAGAATAAGGATAGTAAATTAGAAAGACAGAATGAAAAAGGTATACACACATACTATATCAATGTGTCATTAAAAACTGTTGGTATTTGATTTGTATTATATTTAAACAAATATTATTTTTTAGAGAAGAAGATTACAGAACTTGATGCAGAAAATACTGAAAATGTAGCCAGAATAGACCAATCTATTCCTAAGAGTGACTCATCTATTGATCAACAGGTAGTCATTTGTTTTCTTTCTTAACATCCTTAGAGAGAGATTTTTTATGATCTTTTATAATTCTAGTCGCGTGTAACTCAGACAGATCCTGAGGATACAGAAACTGTGGAACTGTTAAAAAATCAACTAGGTGTATTAATGAATCAGTTAAGTACCTTGTCAGCCGAAAAATCGAAAATGGAGGCAAACTTTCAAATCGATAAGAAGCAACTGAGAAGTGAACGCGACGAAGTAAGATAAGAAGCTTGTTGTTTATTCTATTATCGTGATTATTCAATTGATTGTTAATGTTTACAGTGTGAAAAAGTAATCAAAGATTTGAAAGAAAGACTGAAGAAGACTCAAAATGTTAATCATTCCGAAGTTGAACATATAAAGTGTAAATTGATTATGGAGCGACACGAACGAGAAAAGGAACAAGCCGATTTTGTTAAAAAGATTAAGTATGTAGTACTTACTACAAATTATCTACATTTGTATGAAATAACATATCTCGCGCGCGACATTACATTATGTACCTTTTTACGAAAAGAGAAATTGTTTTATTCTTACAGAGAGTTGCAGAAATTATTATACGACGAGCAACGTAGCAAAGAACAATTGGAAGGTCAATTAAAGACACATCTAGCAAACAAAACGCAATGCAAGATTCTTGAGGCTGAGCTGGAAATTACCAAAACCAAACTCAAACAAGCTGAAGAAGCTGCAAAAGAAACACCACCACATTTCCTCTCTCTGCAAGCTGAGATGGCTATGATGAAGAAGCAACACTTAAATGCGATTCGTGAAGTAAAGAGAAGATATAAGAAGACTCTTTGCACATTATCTATAATAAAATCGAATATAAATCGATATAAATATATTTTGATGTGTAGGAGCAAAAACGAGCCTCTGCTGCAGAGCAGCAGGCGAGAGGATTAGCCATGAAACACGAAGCGAGAGTAGCTGGCTTGGAGGCTCGACTGGCTGAACTTTCTGAGATTGTCGGAAGTTACGACAGATTGAGACAACAGGATCAATTAGCCATACAGAAATTGAAGGATCAGCTGGCTGCGTTGCAAGACACCGATCACAATGAAACTGTAACATCGAATAATCAGGCAGAGGAAATTATTTCTAACATAAAGGCCTTGTACACTCGGTTACTAGATCTTGACAATAAGAAAAAAGACTCAACCTTTGTAAAATGTAAATAATTACATATCGATTGTGCAAAACGTGAGGAAGATAAAAATTTTAAATAATTTAACTATAAATTTTTTCAGCATTATTGGAGAGTTTAGATTTACGAGATGAAAATTCTGTCTACAAAGAGAAGTACGATGCACTTATGCAAGAATTTGAGGACTATAAGCATCAAGTAAAGTGTAAATATAACATGTCTAACGTACTTCGTAGCACTCAGCAACAAAATTTGTCTTTGGCGCACGATAAAGATCACGATAAAACTCAGTTGAATCTTCTCAAGGTTCACAACAGCAATCTAGAAGAAAGAATACGTATGATTAGTAATGAAATGCTAAATAAAGAAAGAGCTTTGCAAGAGCAATTGGAACATCAACAAAAAGTAAGTTTCTCTCTCTCTTTATCTATCTATATTTTTCTCTTACCAGATAATTATAATTAAAAAATTATAAAAACTCCTTAATTAAAACCCTTCTCAATTAATTATTCTTATTTATAAAAAAAAAACAATCAAGTTGTACTTGTATTAGGTGTTTCATGAAGAACGATTGAAACTGGAGAATACCTTGCATCAAAAAGACAATGAATATCGCAATAGAATCTCGACATTAGAACAGCAACTATTACGACAAAGAGAGAGATCTATGGCTCTTGTAGAGGAGAAAGATAAAGAGATAATTACCTTAAAAGCTTCATTTCGTGCATTATTACCTAACAAAGAAACTGCGACAGAAAATAAGACTCATAGACACGAGGGTACAGTCGAGCCAGTTTCCGACTTGGTAACAGGATTGTTGACAAACGACAGTCCTCTGATACTGCATTATACTCAGGAATTGTCCAGGAAAGAAGTGCAAATGTCGTCATTGAGGAAACGGATTCTGGAGTTGGAAGCGACATTGAGAGAGCAGCAAAGAGAAATAGTCCATATAAAAGAACAACAACAAGAAGAGACTAAAATGTTAAAAACGCATATTACTAGGTAATAAATTACATCATTAAAAAATAAATGTATATATCTACTCTTCTTTTTGTTTGTATAAAATTTTTAAAATTATTCAGGTTGGAAGCGTGCAAGTCAAGAGAAGGTGCTAATCTGGAATACCTGAAGAATGTATTTATAAATTATTTGACAACAAACGATGCATCCAGTAAGCGACACATGTTAAATGCTATTTCAACGGTATTGCGTTTCACACCAGACGAACTAAGTAAAATTAAACATTAACAATAAATAAAAGACATACACGAACACCTTGTATAATTGGCTCGTACAGCCTTTTCTTCTCCATAATATTAACAATAGATGTTTATTATATCAATATATTTCACTAATGTAGAAAAAATAACTACACGCGAATATTGTCTAAATACAGTTTACTTATTGAAACTAAGTATCTTCTTCTGTCTTCAATTCTTCTATAAGTCGTTTGCGTTCTTGTGCTCTTTTTAAATTAGCTAATACGGAACTTTCAAATTCCGCTTCTGACATTCTTGCCTGCTGCGTCTATATAACATAAAAGATGATCTTATTATAACAAATCATTTCAATTATCTACAAATCACAATAAAATCTCAGACGGATCTGTTTAGCATTATACATACAAATATATTGGGTGCAGAAGAAAAGCTGACAGATGGTTTGCTATTGTTCAAATGTGTGTTTGCAAAACACACAGGAAATATGGTTGTTCCTCCAGCGTTGCAACTTGCTATATTACTTGGTAGTGCGCTAGTTGATTTCTTTGTGTCCCATAATCCACAAAGTTTTAAAGGATTCTCCGCTAAACCGATTTCTGCTAAAAGTGCTGTTTCCTAAAATAAGAATTTTCTTACAAATTAAAAAAGAATTTTCTTATTATAAAATAGCAACTAACATTACTACTTTACTATGAAACATTTGTTTTTACTCACTGCTGCACTTTTGTCTCCAAATTCAACCATGGCTCTACCTTTTTTTGTAGATGATATTACAAGAGCTGCTACATCTCCATACTTCAAAGTAAAATAATAAAAATAAATCTCTTTAAAACATACATATGTAATGTTAAGAACTTGAAGATCTTACTTTTGAAAACATTGTGTGTAGGTTATCATAATTGTAGCCACCATTTGTTGTATCATCTTCTTGTACCTTCCATCTGATTTTGATCCTAAATTCTCCTACATTAGATGCTGAATTTTTTGACAATCCATAAAGCTGCTCCCAAATTTGTTTTTTTACAAAAGCCACCTCTTCTTCTACTTGCCTGGATCCTTCCTTTTTTAATCTTTCTATCTCAGCCTAAGAAAATCATGTATTGTTAATGATTCTTATAATTTTATAATTAATTGTATATGCATATATATGTTGGCTATACCTTTAATTGTTCCTCATCTGATTTAGTATTGTATGTAGGATCTAATGATCTTTTGTAAGCTTCCTCACGGGCTTCTAAATCTTCTTTTAACTTCTTTCTCTTGGCATCAAATTGTCTAACTCGTTCTTTTGCCTGCTTCTTGGCAGCAATAACTTTGTCGTAAGCTGCCTTGTTTTATACATATGACAACATATTTTAATAAATTAGATTATCCTATGAGACTTTCTGGAAGTCTATATAAGAAGATACACATTTAATAATACCAATATCAATGAGCTTTCAAGAAATATCAATGTACTTACTCTAGCTTTCTCATCTGTTAAAATTTCTAGAGCTTTTGAAAGTTCAAGAAATGCTTCTGCAGCTTTTGGATTATCAGGATTCTTATCAGGATGGCATGTTAAAGCTTTTTTTCGAAAAGCTCTTTTAAGCTACAACATAAACAATAATGTATATTATATATTGTACTGTACTTAAAATGTGGAAAACTTTGTTAAAATAAATTTCTTTAACAAAACTATTTATAAACACAGACGTTACCTCTGACACAGAAGCTGTAGGTTTTGCTCCAATTAATTCATATAAATTCACTTCATTCATATGATCCATGTTTGTGAAAATTTAATAATTCGACGTAATTTTGTAAATTGGTTTGGTACGAAAGTGGCTCAGCGAACCGTTTCAGGTTGGTCCATACGCCATTCTAAAGGGCCTTCTACAATAAGATATTAGCAGAGAGAAACCTGAGAGCGGCCATCCTTATGTAATTTTTTACGACGGTTTCAGCCGCTGGTTTTAGCCGTATTTCCACAAAAGTGGAACTCAAAGGCCGGTCTACATTAAACGCAAGTGTCAGATCTCGTGGAATTGACCAATTGCAGAGTCAAATCAGCCAATCGACCAACGTGATTGATCAGTTCCACGAGACCTGCGACTTGAGTTTCATAGAGAANGGCCTTTGAGTTCCACTTTTGTGGAAATACGGCTAAAACCAGCGGCTGAAACCGTCGTAAAAAATTACAATAGGATGGCCGCTCTCAGGTTTCTCTCTGATATTAGTAATAAATCAGAAGTCAGAAGCAAGAAATTGACTAATCACAATCGATTATTCTTCTGTGATTTGACTGTGATTGGTCAATTTCTTGCTTCTGATTTCTGATTTATTACTAATATCTAATTGTAGAAGGCCCTTAAGATATTAATATTTATAATAGCTGTAACCGCTAAAGGGTCGTCTACAATGGAGAGTTGTAGGCCGTAACAGTAAGAAATTGACAAATCACAATCGATTATTCTTCTGTACTTCGTCTGTGATTGGTCAATTTCTTACTATTACGGCCTACAACTCTCCATTGTAGACGGCTCTTAAGGCCTGGTTTATGCGGGCAATAACTGGTCTAGTTTCCACCGAAACCCTCAATTCGGTTTCACTCCGGTACTGATCAAATTTAGTGCTCTGTTTCCATTGGAAGTAGAGTACTTATAGATCGAAGCGGAAGTGAAATCAGCACAATTTGACAGGTTTCCATCGACTTGAATTTGATTCTACGTCGCATTTGGTGTGAATTAATGCTTCGATGGAAACTAGACCACTGTTAATTTATGCCGGAAACCGGTAGAGTTTAACTATAGGATTCCAATACTTCTGTTTATATGCATTCGGCAATTTTGTATAAACAGAAGCATTGAAATCCTATAGTTAAACTCTACCGGTTCCGGCATAAAGAGCCGTCTACAATGGAGAGTTGTAGGCCGTAATAGTAAGAAATTGACCAATCACAGACAAAGTATAGAAGAATAATCGATTGTGATTTGTCAATTTCTTACTGTTACGGCCTACAACTCTCCATTGTAGACGGCTCTTAAGTTAACAGTTATTGCCCGCATAAAGACGACCCTTAAAGGATCGTCTACAATGGAGAGTTTTAGACTGTAACAGTAAGAAACTGACAAATCACAATCGATTATTCTTCTGTACTTTGCCTGTGATTGGTCAATTTCTTACTATTACGGCCTACAACTCTCCATTGTAGACGGCCCTTAAGATCATTGTTACAATAAAAGCTTTAGAATCGGTATTATATAATTATTGTGTAACATTTATTCTCCTGTACATTGCCGGGATCGTGTGTTGTCGAGGTCGAGCCGGTCGTCGGCATATATATAATACTCCTATATTGCTAGTACGGTGCCGACCTGAAGCCACATGTTACGGTGCAGACAATATAGTAGCCTCTCTCTCTCCAGCTGCTTTGTGCGCATGCGGTGAACATTCAAGCACGTTTAGGCATTTCTTTCTCGCGTTCTTTCCAATGCTTTATCTCGCTCGCACTCGCTTAGTAGACGCGCCTGCGCATAAGGACGCTCGACTATCTATGCCCATATTTGGACTTTGTGCGTCTCCCTTTCTCGGGCCTCGTGCCTCTCATTGCGAAGATACGCGACTAGCAATATAGGAGTATTATATATATGGTCGTCGGCCAAACAAAACCTAACCTAACCTAATCCGGCCATTGTCGCAAACTTGATTCAAAAACCACCACATCCACCCGTCATGTTAATATAATAATAAGAATCGATAACTTCGAGTAAATTCAAGTCGCGTCGATATGGACAATTTTTTCCAAGACCATAACAGGAACTGCAGATATTTAGATTTGGCACCCTCCGAACTGCCCTAATAGGAAAACATTTACAAAATTATGTGACAAAATCTTGCACTAAAATTGTAATTTGCAATTATACAAATATATTTTAAGAAATGGATGTAAAAACATTGATCTTTTATAAAATATTTGTTTTCGGGTATACTCATTTTAGTTGTTTGCAAAATTACTTTCCAAATACTATCTTGGCAAAAGAATAACGATATGGCGAATCATCTTAGCAGTATATTTGCAAAATTAATTTCAACAAGAAATTGAGACAATATTAATTGAGAAAATAATTGAGAAACAATTTCAGCTATGTGATGTTTAAAATATATAGAAATATAATCGCATATGAAAAAATCAACTTAATTCATGTATATACTTATGGAAATGCATAACGACTTTTTCGCAATATTTGACAAATATTATTTACAACATTTTATTTCGACAAAACTGTTGCATTATGGCGAATCATCTTAGTACAATCATTGCAGGATCGTCGTTATTCATGATGCCATTTTTGTGCAATATTTTCACAATTTGTCTATTAGGGATGAATTAATCGGCGGGCCTCACGACCCGCTTAGAAGCGGATGCTTGCCCACATAGCATCGTAGCCAGTGTTCACAGTTTTAGCTTCCTTACAGCATGCTGAAGCGGTGGAAGGGATGCGCACAACAGTAGCGAGTTTATGCAGTTAGAATTCGCTGCTGTTGTGCGCATCCCTTCCACCACTTCAGCATGCTGTAAGGAAGCCAAAACTGTGAACACTGATCGTAGCACAAACGTTTCTGCAACGGGTTTTTCAAAACTTAGCAACGTTTCGTTAAGAGCCGTCTACAATGGAGAGTTGTAGGCCGTAACAGTAAGAAATTGACAAATCACAATCGATTATTCTTCTGTACTTTGTCTGTGATTGGTCAATTTCTTACTATTACGGCCTACAACTCTCTATTGTAGACGACCCTTTAAGAGCCGTCTACAATGAAGAGTTGTAGGCCGTAATAGTAAGAAATTGATCAATCACAGGCAAAGTACAGAAGAATAATCGATTGTGATTTGTCAGTTTCTTACTGTTACGGCCTACAACTTTCCATTGTAGACGGCTCTTTAAACGTCGTAGCAACGTAGCGGAAACGTCGAAATGTCCGCTTTTTAAGTTTCGGTCCGATTTCGTTGAAACGTATAAAAAACGTTGCCCGATAAGTTGCAAAGTTGTTAATCACTTGTGTAAGTAATCACTCCTTCCTAGAGAATGGTTAAAGCAGGCAAACCCTGCATGGTTGATTAATTGTATTTTACAATGTTTATAAAAATTTAAACATTAACAACTTTGCAACTTATCGGGCAACGTTTCTTATACGTTTCAACGAAATTGGACCGAAACTTAAAAAGCGGACATTTCAACGTTTCCGCTACGTTACTACGACGTTTTACGGCCGATTTCTTCATACCTCTCGATAGCTATCCTCTGGATAAATTCCTCCATAGACGTATAAGAAATAGACTGCGCGTGTGAGAGGGGAAGTGAGTCAAACTTCGGAGTGAGACAGATGCTTTCACCCGAGTCTCTGTCTCTGTCTTTCAGCATCTGGAGTGGGGACTCCCCACTCGGGAGACAACTCCATAGAATGTCTATGCTGTCAATCGCCTACTGTCGCCCCTTCATCGCTCGATGCTCCTCTATTGCCCCACTACGCTATTTCTCATTCCTACTACTTTTCTTGTCCGCCAATCACCGCGTCACTAAACAAGGATAGTGACTCGGGTGAAAGCATCTATCCTCGTCCGAAGTTTGACCATTCTTTCTGCACAGAAAAGATACGGGACGCGCAGTCTATTTCTTATATGTCTATGAATTCCTCTGAGAACCAATAAGGAGAACCAATTTTGGGAGATATCTTCTAGATAAAGTTATCGAAAACTTATCTAGAAGTGAAAAAATTGGCTGTTAGAAACGTTTAGACCTGTTCTACAATACAGTCGTAAGCTGTAAGTCGTAAGAAATTGACCAATCACAATCGATTATTCTTCTGTAATTGGTCTGTGATTGGTCAATTTCTTACGATTTACGGCTTACAACCGTATTGTAGAACAGGCCTTAACGAAACGTTGCTAAAGTTTTGGAAAACCCGTTGCAGAAACGTTTGTGCTACTAACGATGCTATGTGGGTAATATCTTATTGTAGAAGGTCCTATAGGACCTTCTACATGCGTCTTGAATTTTTTTTTCATATGGCAAAACACATTTTACTTTTTTATTCACACTTTTTATTTTGCATTAATTAGTACTATATTTTCATGCAAATCAATGAGGTAGTCTATTATTTAAAGTAAAAAACATTATTCTTTAAAATAGACATAAGTAACATACCTTCTGTAACGTTTCTTTCTCAAAAGTGAAGCGCTACTCCGTACTAGATGAAAGAACCGCTTATTTGTGTTTGCAAAATTAATGAGATCACGCATTCCAAGTCTTTCATCTTCGAGTATCATATAGATAATCTCATTGGGCATACTCATTAACGAAGCCATAGAAATTATTGTGTTTTTTTAGAAGAGACAACGGTGAACTTTGTTAAAGTGAAATTATACAGAAAGATGACTACGAGGTCTACGAGTCGGAAAGTATGATAGTATGATAGAAAAAGGCGGTCTTGAGCATAGATGCCAGATCGGGGACGCTTGCAGCATGCTCCGCAAGTAGAAGGGATACACAGACAAAACGCACACAGGCGAACAGCCGTGTACGTGTGCTCTCAGCGATTCGACGAGTGGCTGCTCGCGTGTGTGCGTATCCTCTCCACTTGTTGCAGCATGCTGCAAACGTCCTCAATCTGGCATCTATGGTCTTGAAGCTTCTCATTGGTTGCAATATCTCCGCCTGGAAAAATTTGGACGAATCGCCGTCATACATCAACATAATGTTTGTTTTTTTCCTGCACTGGCTGCACTAGTTCACAGTCTATCTTTTTTTTATTCATATTAGAAGGAAAAAGATAGACTGTGAACTAGTGCAGCCAGTGTGCAGGGAAATAATACTAAGCTATAATATGTCTGCGCTCTTTCACGAGCGCATACGGACGCAAAAAACGCACCCATTGGGTGCGTTCAGACAACTCAACAGTTGCACAACGGTTAAGAGATAATCACTTCTGATTGGATCATACTTTTGGAACCCAATCAGATTTTGAAGAATAGTCCTATCATAAGTGATGATCTCTCAACCGTTGAGTTGTCTGAACGCACCCAATGTAGAACGGGCTTGATGAAAAATGAAGCCAGAGACGTACGATGCTTTTTTGCTTGCTAGATCGCTTGCATGCTTCTGTACTGATTTACTGACAGGAGCCAATCAGGACGCAGCCTTAGAGTATCACGTGATCTAAAAAGTTTTGTTCTGATTGGCTCTCGTAATAAACCGGTATATGACCGTGCAAGAAAAATAGTATCCGTGATTTATCACGAAACTTCAGCAAAGCAGTCCGAAGCGTGTGTAGCCAGCACAGGAGCACGCAAGCGATCCAGCAAGCAAAAAAGCATCGTGCGCCGCTGGCTTTATGAGTAGTGAGCTACCATGTTGTGTTGAAGTACATAATGGTATCCTATCTATGGCATTCTGTGATATCATAATTTTTGTGCTGAAAACTATTAAAGTACATAATACCTGTAAAATTCAACTTGTGAGGGATTTCTGCTTAATCAGATAATTTTATCGAAATGACATGTAAATTTCTAGTACGGTAACTCACAAGTGGGTAGTTTGAGTTGTGTGAGTATAATACTTGACGATATTGTCCTACGCTCTCGCGTTTAGTGGTTAAAAGTCTGTCCGCATTGACGTCGAATGTTCGTAAATCTTGGTATGACGCGAGAATAATCACAGTTATATATATTGTGATTTCTTTCAACGGCAAATATTTCACATAAGCTTGTTCCATTTTTGTGACAATGTTATGTATGTATTTACGCGTTTCAAAGTAACTCTTAAAGGTTACTATAAAAACTAAAAAAGATATTGAGTTTTTTTTTTATTGTTCTTGTATGCGGCACATGCAAAATTGTTTGTGCAATTTTTCGTCTATTCTACTATTCGCAAATTTGTTTTGTTTTTTTTTTATGTAATATCAATAAATTAGTATATAATTTGTATTATGTGTGTGAAAAAAAGAGAAGAAGAGAGAAACAAAGTACATACAAATATATAAAAGTATATACAAAGATTTTTTTGTTTGTTAAAGATATGTGCACATGTACATTTTTTCTCTTTGTTGAATATAAAGTTTAGTTTGTATTTAAAACATTTTATAACATTTTTCTTTCAAACCATGTTTCAGGATTTACTGCAATAGTATCAATTAATCACAACCATGTCTTATCCTGGTCAACCACCCATGGGTATTCCAGGAATGCCACCAATGCCATACATGGTTAGCGCACCACCTCCGATGATAGGTGGAGTGATGCCTATGGCACATGTTAGTATATTTAATTGATTAAAGCATGATAGGTGTTTTTTTCATATTGCTATATTATCTTTAAAATGTGTGTGTACTTTTGTTTTGTGTGTGTATTATATTTTCTTCTCTTTAATTAAAAACCAGTTTTATATAGTAGTAATACTTTTATTTTAATTATAGCTCTGGGAAATTTAATGTTTCAATAAAAAAGATTTAAAAAATAATTATTTATAATGAAGAAACATATGTATAATGTTAACATATATCTTAAACATATATTCACACAAAGTATGTGTATGCAAATGTTTAAAATAATTATCTGTAAAGTAAAAGAGAAAAGATATATTAATTAGTTATATTCTTTTTTTTTAATTTTGTTTAATGCATGTGATGTGTTTTAATAAGGTGGAATGCTTAGATAGCTAAAATAAGAATAAATTAATCATGCTATTAGAAAGGGAGGGGAAAAGCAGAGTGCATGAGTAGACATATGCATAATTAAGAATCCTACCATTTATAAAACATAGATGATACCAACACCCGTATCTGCGATGCAGACATCAGCGCCTGCCGTCCGTTATTCACGCAATCAGAATCGTCACGATAACAATCGAAGACGTGAGAGGGAATCTGGTCCGCCTGTCACAGTATTTATTGGTAACATAATGGACAGGGCACCTGATGTAATGATGAGACATATTTTGAGCGCATGTGGACATGTGCTTTCTTGGAAGAGAGTGCAAGCGTTTGGCTTTTGTGAATTTGCTGGCCCTGACGCGGGTCTCAGAGCTGTGAGATTACTTCATGATATGGAAATAGGCACTAAAAAACTCGTTGTCAAAGTGGATGCTAAAGCTAAAGTAGCTCTGGATCAATTTAAAGGTAAGCTTTTGAGATGAAAACTAAGTTAGAAGAGAGGTGAGGTTTTATTAAAATAATTACTTCTTTAATAGCTGAGCGAAGAAAGAAACTCAAAGGTGGTCAATCGCCTTTACAAGACGAGATATCTGGTGAAGGAGCAGATGGTGAAGAGAACGAAGATTATATGGACGAAGGCATGAGAGTGGTTGATGCAGATGCGCTTACTCGTATCAATCAGATCATAGCTGAACACGCTGCGGATTTGGAAATGGCACAGGTAGCTCCAGGTAAGTACTTAAAAAATTTTGTTTAAACACACGTGCATAAAAGTGTTATTATTATTTCTAATTTATTTTCCTTACAGAAGAACATCAGACCAAAATGGTAGCTAAATCCTTAAATCTGGATGATGCGGAGATAGAAGAAAGTAAAAGAGACTTGATTACTCGAGAAATTGGCAAATTCAGGGAAGTCATGAAGGTAATTATTATTATTATTATTATTATTAATATTTCTATACAAATATACTCCTTTTTCTTTTTTGACTTTGCTTTTTTTTATTAGTTATTAAACGTTGATTACATAAAAATACACAATAGACAAATTTTATTTTCTTAAAAAGGAACATACTAAAAATATTTCATATCTTATATCTATCATATAAATTTAATATAATTTATATATTTATATTTATAATATAATCTGGACTAGAAATTATTAAAAAAAAACATCTTTTTATTATGATATATAATTTTGTCTTCACTCTTATACTGCAAAATAATGACTATTCAGCAGAATAAGATAGTGTACTCAAAATTCAACAAGATGAGATAGTATATGTATTAATGCGCTTATACGTATTTTATACGTGCATGCGTGTACGCATACACACACACACACATAGTAATTTTTCTGAAAATTAATATCATCTTAGTCCTTTATTTTTTTAATCTATTTTATCTTTCTTGTCAACTTGATCTAAAGATGTGCAGAATAGTTTCTTTACTTTCAGAAAAAATGTATATATCGGATACAGTTTTGTAATACTCTACATTAATGTGTTAGTTATTTTTAACATTTATTTTCTATATACATTTATCAATTTATTTTTTTTAATTCGGGTCCTACATAAATTGATTATACATTAATATATGTATAAGTATAATGATCACATTAAAAGAGAGGAGAAAGAGAGAGAGAGAGAAATATCAAATATAAGATTGTTTTATGCTAAATTTTTATACAATTTGGAGATGTTATATATATATACATATATATATATGTATATGTATAAATATACAAAAAACAATTTTTGTCTACATCATATCTTGATGATTTTGATGAAGGCAAAAGTACATTCAGCAACAAAACAACAATGTAAATCTCGTGCTATATACGAAAAGAACATCTTTAATGTTTATCGATGTACATTGCCGTTAGCACTTATTTTATACAGATGCTGCGACCGGACACAGGAATATACTTTGTAAAAAAAATCTTAAACAATCTAAGTGATAACATGAGGTCACAAACTAACAAGTTGTTTTGGGAAAGTATGTGTAATGTGAAAAAATAACAAGTGTCCAATCGCATATATATCTTATCGCAGATGCTGGTAACTAGACTATTTCTCTCTGTGTACACTTAATGTGTAAAAGAATGTAACTGGATTTATAAGAGGATACGGTAGAGATATATAGATTACACGAGTATTTTAAAAGACACGTAATTTTTTAAGTATTTTGTGAGATAAAATGCGTGTGCTCTATTAGCTCTAAACAATTGGAGCGGTGATTCGTTGCTATAATTATAATAACAGGCAGCGTGCGTCGCACACAGCAAACGCACACGCCTAGGAATGCTGTGTGTGTGGGGGACCACTCTTTCACTCATTCATTGGCTCTGAAGGGAGTCAATCACAGCACATCCCTCGTATTTTCGCAGGCAGCTGCAGCCTCGTCGGTAAGTCAGAGTATAATCCAAAAAAAAAAACCAAACATGAAAAAAAAGCCAAAACAAAAACGAAATATGCAATAATGTTAAGAAGACTCTCTTAGCTCTCCGCGACAAGCTGGCGACATGTAATTGATCATTTCATCTCTATTAATATTCCAGTTGAATTTATTGCAAATACAGATCTGTGCAACATTGCAACTGTAATATTTTTTTATGTTTATAGAGATGGATATGTGATTACAATTCATTTGTAATAACTAATCAGTTAATTTTATCTACTTCTGCATATATGGTATGCTAAACTGCTAGCAATAATATTTAATGTCAAAGATTTATTGTAATGTATTATACATAAAATATAATTAAATAAATTTGTTTTTTTTTTATATACATTATGCAACTATATTTTGTTTTTATAATAATTATGTAATTATTGTAAAAACAAAAGAGTTGTCTAGCAGTCTAGTATTCGCATATTGCAAATGTAGGTAAGCGGGGTTGTTCAGATTATTTTCACGCGCAATTTAGGATTTAGAAAGTGTTACCGTATTTTGAGCAAAATATATTTTGACGCTGACACTCTTTGTTCTATACATCTTTGGATAGACTGATAGGACCGAAAGATTTTCTCTGTACGCTACACACAATGAAAACTGATTTTGCCCATCATCAATGGCGACTGTTCAGTTGTTGTCTTTATTTTGTGTAAACAGCTTCTGTCAGCGTCTCGATCAGACATGTAGTACCTAGGTGCGCGCTCCTCCATTCTCTGGTACCACCACACTGACTGACCAAGTCAACTTCACACCGTGAGTAAACTCCACAACCATGAGCCAACACAAGCATTCGGTTCTTGTAGTTTTTTTTTGCTAGTGAACTACCCATCTGAGAGATATACCTTTTTTGACCACGTTTTCGACAGTCTACTTTCTCCTCACAATGTGCATCTACTTTTATGCACTGAGTTATTCTGCCCTTGTTAAAACTTAAAACCATGGGTTACTGTATGGATAAGATATTTTATATGTTTCACAAAACTATAATAAATAATTGTGAAAAAATAAAATTGTAATAGAATTACTAATGATAAAAAAAAAATATATATATATATATATAAAATTTAACAAACGATAAAAGAACAAATAACGTAAAACTTGCAGCGGTGGGTACATATAAATACTCTTTGCTCTCCTAACAATTATATACATTTATCAAAAAAAAGTCTTTGTTGTGTGTGCGTGTGTAACAATAATATATAATTTTGCAATATTATATATTATATAATAGCATTTTATTAGTAGATGGTTTCTACTTTCTTTATATACACACATACACATAATTTTACTTTTATAAACTAAATATATAGATATACATATGTATCTTCGTAATCCTGCAATATAAAGTAGCATCAGAATTAATTAATTTTCCAAACAGTAACCTATTGCTAGTATAACGAGTAAAGATCAACCATACTAATTTATTTCTAAGACATTGCGTTCATAACACGGAAAGTAACGGTGGGCAAACTATTGTGCATTTGATATTCAACAGTTTGCTGCATCGGCCACCAATAGCGCGTGTAACCAGAGGAAAACATATGTTGTCAGACAATACGACAGTTTCTTGGAAAATGTGAAAAGATGTTTGGTGGGATACTCTTCTTCATGGTGACTGCACCTGCGATTGGTATAATACTTTCTAATAATTATAGAGTATCAAATCGTGAATCAAAATTGTCTAAATAATCTCAAATCCCCTTTCAAGCACTTAGATTTTATATCATAAATAGACTTAGACACTATCGATTTTACAGGCACATTTGCAATGTTGTAAGTACATTGGGTGGCCTCTGCGATGCATCTGTTTAGTGTTAAGGTACTTAAATGTAAACTCTAGAGTCTAAGTTAACTTTTATACCTTGTATCCAAATATTTGTACCTGCACTTAGGTAATTGATATGTAAACGAGATTTCGCGTAAGATGCTGCCGATCGAGAATACTCCAGTGGAGTGAGTATACCATATTGAAATGAACATCTCTCTACATTTACATGTCAGACTTTGATTAAGGCTTATAACACAACTAGTAATCGTTCTTTACAAATAAATTTATAACATAGCTATGTAGCGCGACATCTTTTTTTTTTTTTTTCTGCTCGTGTATACGTATGTTTGTTTCAACAAAATATCTGCGCGCGACAATATTCTTGAGAATAGAGACACAGTTGTTTAACACGTCTTCGCAAATATTTTGACAAAATTTATTTGATGAGTTGTGATTAAGATTTAATTTGAACAAAGTTGCGTCTATAGCAAAACATATGCATTTTTACAACTGAGTTTATAACAAGACTTATTATTTGTTGTGTGACGCTACTTGCCAACAAGTAGTAAATCTTTTATTTTAGTTTTTCATTTTTTTTTTGTTTTTTTTTTTTTGTCGCATCTAAGAAGGATACGATTGCTAGTACTTTGATTTCATCAATATGACAAACCGACACGCTTATTTCAACTTTATTGTCTCACCTGTGCTCGCCTTCTTGTGTTTTGTAGAAACAAGAGGAGGAGAAGGCCCAAGTGAAACGAAAGAAGGAAGCTGTTGAAAAAGAGGAGCGCGAGAAACGAGAGAAAGAGCGACGTGATAAACGTGATGACGATGTCTCGAAGGATGATCAAGATGGAGATTCGGGTAGTCCTACATCTCATAAAGGTCGTAGTGGAAGTACTGGCAGCAGTAGAAGAGACAAACGTCGATCTAGATCTAGGTGAGACATTTATGTGCATTAATATATTGTATCAATAAGTAAAAGTACATAATATTGATAAAAGAATTTCTAAAACATACGTATACTATCACGACGTAACATGCGGATTGTAATTTAAATGTAATTTAAATACAGTAGAGATTAATGTGAATCCTATGGTCAGCACATTTTTACTTTCAATTTTCTTTTTTTCTCCCTCCTACCTCTCTCACTGAGGCATGAATATCTTCTATCTCTCTCTCTCTCTCTCACTATCTTTCTCATTGAGGCATGAATATCTTTTCTTTTGTTATCAAATTTTAACAGAGAACAAAGCTTCTTTCTTCATGCAACTATTTTACAAGTTTGAACTTCTCAGATCTAAAGAACGTGACAGGGATCGAACGAGGAGTGACCGGGATCGAGACAGAGATCGTGAGAGAGATCGAGAACGGGAACGGGAACGAGATCGGGATCGCGAGAGAGAACGCGAACGGGAACGTGAACGAGACAGAGAAAAGGAGAGAGATCGAGAACGGGAAAGAGAACGGGAGCGAGAAGAAGTGAGGAAATCCGAGAGAGAAATTATGCGTGAAAGAGAGGAGGAGGAAGAGGCGAAAGAGAGAAAGAAAAATGAGAGACGAGCCAGAGAAAAAGAGGCGGCATATCAGGAGCGTCTAAGAGCGTGGGAGACGCGTGAACGACGCAAACAGAAGGAATATGAGAAGGAAGCCGAGAAGCGTCGTGCAAAACGAGAAGCGAGAGAGAGGGAGGCAAAGCGTCTAAAAGAATTCCTCGAAGATTATGATGACGATCGTGATGACGCCAAGTATTACAAAGGAAAAGAATTATCTCGTCGGCTCGAGGAACGAGCTCTTGAAGCAGAGGCGGATTCGCGGGATCGTTGTGCCGAACGTCAAGAACTCCAACGTCTACGCGACAAACTATATGCAGATACGTCCAATCCGGATCCTGCTGCAGAATTTGAACGAGTAAGTTGAGTAAAAATATTAAGAAATCTGAATTGTTTAATTACAAATAAACGAATCTTCTATTTTTTTTCAGTCATATAAATTTATTTCTATTTTGTTTGTTTAGTTAAAAGCTGAGAGAGAGGAACAGTACAAGCCTAAACCTGTAATTACTATAATTGACGAAGAAGATGACAAGGCAACGAAAAAAGAGAAGGAAGTGATGCCGCCAATAGAAACCGAGCCAATAGAAAGCGATAGCGATGATGGCGTGCAATTTGATGACGCTTCCCAGCCGGAAACACCATCCAGAACGCCGCCGCGACATCATCATCATCATCGTCGGCATCATAGACATCATCAAAATCATCATCGCGACGGCGAAGAAAATCACGAGGGTCTTATGGAGGTGGATGAAGAGAGCATAAAAGACGTACGACCATCGCCGCATCTATCGGTTGCGACTCCTGCTCAATCCATTCCACCCTCACTGGACGAAGATTCGCGTATGTCTCTCGTCAGTGAACCAGAAAAGACGAGCGGTAGTAAGTATCTTGATTCAAAATTAAGGAATTAGATTTGTATTATATACACGTAAGTTTGATTTGATTAATTATTTAATCATTTTATATTTAATTATTTAATCATTAATTATTTAATCAATCGTTTTTTCTTGTAGGTAATTTTGTTCCATTTGCTATGGGAAATGCGGGAAATCGTCCTAGCGATCACAATGTAGGCGGTAAAACTCCCGTCAGTCCTAGTACTGTTAATACAAATTTGCAACAAACGAATCAAACACGAAAAAAAGGTCGTATCGATGTTAAAGATGTTTTCAATAACGATGATGATGACGACGCGGCTAATAACGCGAAAAAACGTAAACTTGTACCTTTAGGTAAGTATTTCAAGTTTTTGACTACACATCGAACGAGGGAAGGTAGAATACATGTTGTAACATTTTATCTTGCAGATTACGGTGATGAAAAGAAAAAGAAAGCTGAAGAACCGGCGAAGACGGGAAAAGAAGAAAGTACAAAGAGCCAAGAAGAAAAGCGAAAACACATAAAATCTCTCATAGACAAGATACCTACTGATAAGAACGCATTGTTCGGTTACCAACTCGATTGGGCAATCATCGATAACGTAAGTGAGAGATTTACGCGCGCGCGTTTTTAAATATACATATACAAATTCACAAAATTTTCGTCTTCCGTCAATATAATTTATAAATAAATTGATTCAGTTAATTTTGTCTCTAACGTAAAAGAAGTAATCTAATCTTATCTTAATATTGTGCAAAATTATATTGATAAAATTCTGTTATTTGTCAATATGATTTGAGTTTTATGCATGTTTTGTTACTTTAGACATTAATGGAGAAGAGGATAAGACCTTGGATTAACAAAAAGATCATCGAATACATTGGTGAGCCGGAACCTACCCTAGTGGATTTTATCTGTAGCAAAGTAATGGCGGGTAGTTCTCCTCAGGGAATACTCGACGATGTTCAGATGGTAAATGTCAAATATCTCAAATGCATATGTTGTAAATATCAAATATCTCAAATATAATCGTTGTTTTATACACAGATTTCATACGTGTCTTATTTCTGTGTTTTAGGTACTTGACGAAGAAGCGGAAGTGTTTGTAGTCAAAATGTGGAGGCTGTTGATTTACGAAGTAGAAGCGAAGAAAATGGGATTAGTGAAATAAATAAATCAAATATATCACATCCGCAAAAAAAAAAAAAAAACATTCATTAACTCGTGAATTATACATGTATTATGCGAGCGCGTGAAACTTTCGATTTGAAAACTGTGTAGAAATTGTGTGTATTTACACACAATTTGCCGTTGTATTCTCTTTCTCTCTCTCTCTCTCTCTCTTTATTATAGAAATCCTTTTCTAAACAAAAATCACAAGTGTTGCTCGATAGATGGTCTAAGTGTGTAGCAACTAGTGTTAAAAATAAACTTCTATAATTGTGTAATACTTAAATAGTTTTGAATTATGTGTCCACATTATCAGACGGATAAATAATGACTCGCCTAAATGATAAAATTAAATAAATAAGTAATTAACAAAGTAAGTAATTAAATAAATAAGTAACTCTTGATATAACTGTCAACCTGTAACTAAATCTGACCAACCTGCCGGTAATCCATCTCGGACACGCTATTTAACTTATTTTGTTTATATTTATAGTAATTTATAAAAAAAAAAATCCACTTAAAACTGTGGATTCTTTTTTGCACGAGCATGAATCCTCACCGCGTTCGTTCTTTCCCTTCTTATCTTCACCTGAACATAAAAAGGGAAAGAACGCACGTGAAGTTTGTCGCGAAAAGTTTTTATATTTACAAAAGTATAAAAACATTTCTGATTCACGTTCACAGAAATCCAGTATCGCGGGATTTTTGTTTACGCGTTGAGAAAAAACTCATCAAAATTAATTAGCAATAGTCGAGACAAGTTCATTATTAAATCTCGACGAGAAATTGTCTCGTCTCGGAATGTGATGACAAAAACATCTGACATATTTCGAAACCTATTTTGCGCTTACTGCACGACACCTGTGCGTGATGGCGCACAAAAGACAAGCGTACGTTGAAAGCACATCACCCGCATAGCCAAACCCGTATGTGAGCTTTTGCAACTTTAACTCGCGTCTCGCGCAGTTGTAAAACTTCCGTCCGTTTCTCTGCCGAGATGTATGAAGCAAACCCGATATTTTTTCTTGTGTCTCTGTTTTTCTTCTATTTCAATTCTTTGTCCAATTATCAAAAGCAGTTTGCGTAAAACCAGATTTATTGATTTGCTAATAATCGAAGCAATTTCGTTGCCTGTAAGAGAGAAATCAGCGTCATAAGTAGCGTATGACGCAGTGGTGGTAAATTTAAAAAAAGAAAAAAACGTATTAGTCACTTCCGTTATGTATCCCCGCGTGTGCAATGTATTTTTCTCAATGTATGTGTTCACCGTTTACCAGAGCAAAAGTCATTAAATAATTTATGTAAAAACTCGCTTTATTTTTGTATGTTTGTGTGCATTATATGACTACGTATAATAATAATAATAAATAATAATAATAATAATGTATATTATAAATAATTACATATAATATATAGAACCAATTAATCCCGAAATATAATAAAATAAAAGAAATATTCAGAAATGAAACGAGTTACGCAAAATTATCTAATGAGTCTTGATCTGTTAAAAAGTCTGTACCGCTTTCGTGCGCCATTTCACGCGTTACTTACCAAGGCTGATTGATTCGCACATGTAAACATCGCACTTGTAGTGACTTGTAATCTTCCTAATAATAATCCCTCTATTAACGGTAATTTTTCACACATGTTGTATATATTCTCGCGACTGCGTATTTCTTCCCGTACTTATGTACTCCGCATCACATAGAGGATCCAGTAACGCGCCACATGTGTGACTCACGCCACCATTGCGATGATCGCGTCCGACATGGAATTGCGCCGGTTTAATATAATCTTCATTGTTGCGATTCCCACGCTAAACCTGTGTTGCAATTGTAAACTCGACAATCACGACAATGTGAGATATGCGCATGGGGATAAATTTAGAAAGATTAAAGGCACATTCCGTACGTGCGTATGTGTGTGTGTGTGTGTGTGTATGTGTCACTTATATAATTTGAATTGCGTATGCAACTGACACTTTTTCTTTGATAAGAAACGTAGATTGTTTTTTCATTGAAAAGAAAATGTGTTTGCGCAAAATTATCTCGTTGTTACAATTTACAAATAATTATTAGTGGATTTTTTTTCTAATATCTATATATATATAGCTTTTATCTCTTGTGACTAAATTAAAATATATGACGAAGAGTACAAGAGACTTCAAACAGAAGGTGTCGAAGAGAGACGGTACGAAAGAAAGAGAGAGAGAAAGAGAGAAAGGGAGAGTAATGCAGGAGCAAAAGGCAGAAAACACCGGTAGGCAGTTTTGTAGCTGTTTTTATCAGCTTCTGGGCATCGGGGGTCCAGATCATGGCAGGACGCATCTTGGGGGGTTCGTGTGGGAACGTACGTCTCTTTAGCGTACCACCGCTCTCTCCCCCTCCTCTTTCTCTCTCGTTCTCTCGCTGTTCTTCACGTCTTCTCTTCTTCTTTGGCGAACCCGTCTTTTTTTCTATTCGGAGCCGGCTGGACGATTCGTTCCTCCCTCGCATCGGCCTCCCCCAGACCTCCCTTCATTCCCTTCTCTCACTCCTTTCGCGCGCTCGTCCTCTTCATCGAGCCTGGTTGCCTTCGGGTACCACTTAGGTCATCGGGGTCACCCTTCGCGATACACTCGCTACGTGGTATGCCCTATATTTACGCACGGTAAGAGCACCCTGAAGAAGAGGTGGGCGCCCGCCCGCCCTCTCATCTTTCCTCTCTTCGCCAACTATGTTCGCTTCGCTCTTCTTCTATCCTGTATCACGGCTGCTTCTCAATAAGTACCGGTCGCGTAAAGATCATCTCACAACGACGACCGCGTATCGAGGAAATAATTGAAATTAGCAAAATTGCAATTGGGTTTTTTGCACTAACAATTTATTTATTTTCAGGTTTTCTATATTCTCTCACCGCAATCTGTCTTTTAATCATTTGCGCTGATAAAAAAAAAAAAAACCTCCTCTGAATGAGAAGAAAAAAATCATTTGTTGTACCAAGAACAATCGTACAGCATGCAGCGTCAGTTCCATAAATCAGCGAAATTTTTTAAAAAGCGCCGCGCGCCATTAATTCGCGCGATAAAAAGCGTTAAGCATGCGCACGATTGCGGCAGCGTACGCGCGTATTGTAAAATGTAAAACATTGCGACAGAGTGCCTTGCAAAGGTTATGATACGAGCCGTGATGGCGTGTTGTAACCTTTGCGAGAATTGCATCGTATACATCGCGCGATAGATAATAGTCTGGCATGATTGCCACGATCGTAATTACGTTTGTTCTTGCTGTGTTAGATGCTGAACGTAATTTTTACGTGTTAGACTTTGGCAAAAAAAAACTTGCTAAAAGTATAGGTTGTTTTTTATATAATAAATAAGACTCGAAATTCTCGAAACAAGGATCTCTAGATGCTGACGCCGCGAAAAATCGTTCGACACGCAATAAGCGATCAATAAGAAGCGAAATACCGATTTTCAGTGTGTACTGAGCCTAAGTATGCTCCAAAGTCCTCATGCGAGATACAACAGGGTGGTCACAATACGCGAACGTTACGAAGATACGGGACGATGAAAAATATCTGGTATCTCAAGCCAGGATCCTTCGAACAATGGGATATCTTCGGAACCGACTCGGCTACACGAGTGGACAATTATTATCCCGATTGGCGAAAGATAATGTTTTATCAGCGATATATATAATGATTTTCTTCCGCCGGATCGGACGGGAAAAATGTGCGAAAAAAGTTTGAAAACATCCTTATACGCGTATGAGACCCCGATGATCACCTAAGTTAATTAAGTCGCGTATCGCTATAGTTGTATAAAATGAACTTTCTGCGATAAAAAATTATATTTTTCACGCGCACATCAAGAGCGCTTGACTCTTATTGGTTTTTACTTCTCTAATAGTTGAATATCAAAGAGAATCTTGTACAAAAAAATTTCTGCGATAAATTTGATAGAAATTTAAAATCGCTGCACCGAGACGCGCATCAGAGTCGGCTCTCACAGAGCGCAAGAGGGACGTAAAAAGTGCCATTGCACTTTCACAGTCTTGTTTCTTTTCCTTCCGACGTAAATCCTGCTCTCTTTTTTCTCACTTCTTTCTCTCTCTCTCTCTCTCTCTCTCTCTTTTTCGCAGTTGAACAACATGGGCAAACATCGATTCAACAGACGTCACAGACATACGTCTAAGCGAGATCTTATATTTTTGTTTCTGCCGCCCTCTTCGCGATTTTCCCACACGATCTTTTACCATGATGTTGAGAATGCGCAAATTCTCTCTGTCTCTCTCTTTCTCTCTTTTCGGCAAGACTCTCTTCGTCGAAAACGCTTTCTCCGTCGAGTTCCGTCATGACGTGATGACGCAAATGCAAACGCTATATACCGTGTTTCATCTCGCTACTGAGTTGGATAAAATACGGAGCGATTAATATATGGTGCACGAATTATACACGTCTGAACGAAAGGAGAAAATTGATAAACGAACAAAACGATATATCTAACAAAACAAGACGCGATTTTTCGCGAGTGCGTTTACATTCTTAACCGGACGTAAACTTTCGCAACGAGGAAAAAAAAGATCGATTTAACCACGTGATCGCGTGAAAAAAGCATTCGCCGAAGTAGCAAAGCTGATCGATAACGAACACCTGTGCATTATTTGCGGTTAATATCGATCTCGTAATCGACTCTCATTTGAGACCAAAAAAAAAAGAAAAAACTTAAATATATTTTATGCGCGCGTGGAAAGTGGTTTGCGTTCTACATACTTGAAAGATTTTTGTGAGAATTTTTTTGTTGAAAAAAAACAACTTCGTTAAATGTGGAGAAATTTTCTTCTCCGCCAATAATTGTAGTGAATTATGATTTATTTGTGCACTGAATACGCACCAGGAGTGGAAGTATTATATAAAAACAAGAATGTGATAGAAAACGCAATTAAAAATATAGATACTCACACACACACACACACATGTAAATGTACACCTACATGTTTGTGTAGCGACGGCACAACTAAATCATCATCTTTCTCGGTAAAGAGGCATGCAAGAAGACGCGTTACGAAACACGCTACGTTTCTTAGCACAGATATATTACTTACAATTGACCATAAAACACTTTTCTTAAAACACATTTATTAACCGCGTTGTTCGTATAACATGTGTCAATTGCGAAATAAACTCAATCGAAAATAGATCGTTTCTTCGAAATGTTCGCCGAAAAAAAAAAAAAAAAAAAAACTGTGCGCTTATGCAATTCGCACCGCGCAGATCCGGAAAAGGACTGTCCTGGAATTCGTTTCGAAACGATATGTGCGACGCGACGTCATCGCCAAACCGACAGTCTCGGACAGGCATACAAAGGGCTATTGTGCCGATTTTTCTCCAGATAAAGCGTGTCGCGCGCGGATCTAATCGCCCACGCGAATGCTTGCGTGCTCTCGCGCGAATCACACCGACTACAGAGAGACAAGGAGTCTAATTTCAAGCAAAGCTCATACATACTCTCTGAGGCACACGTTACGCACATGCGAGTTGTGTATTTACTGTCGTATCAAGGCTGGCGCGCGAACAAGCCGGGGGAGATGTGTGTTGTCGCCTCTCATATATTGTGTGTACGTGGCATGGTCCGATAAAGAACCTAACATCACGTAATCGAGAATGTATAATATAATAGAAAAAACAAAATGAAATTAACAACATCGGCAAGTAGAGCCTCGCGTGTACGCAGTTATTGGTGTGTGTACATGTAAATTTTTTTATTCAAGCAAATTTTAAATAGACGTTTTGATGAACCAACGAGATTTGAATATTACACAAAATTGTGTGATTTCTATTTTATAATTAAGTCATATATATATATATATATAAAAAACGCAAACAATAAAAAAATAAAAGTCATACAATTGTCAAAGAAGCGTTAGGAAAAAAAAAAAAAAAAAACGCACAAATTCACTTCACGTTGGGTGTTGCGTTTAAAATATTGATTGTTTCAGTTTTTTCTCTGTGATTTTAGCAATAATATAATACAACGCGAGTGGACATGTTAGATTACGCATATTTATATGTCAGAGTTAAAGCACAATGCTCTTATTTAAGTTAAAGGTTGAAGCAAGTGCGTCACGCACTCTTAACTGCATCCTGTCTATAGCGCCAACATACGTAGCGCTATTACTTTCAAACACAATGTCCTCCGATAGGATAGGAGATCAGAATCTGAGCTATAACTCTATGAACGCCTATGTAGCTTAGCGTACACAATGGTCTAACATTTATACGGCGATAAATATTGGTGATAATTATATAATGGAAACATGTATAAGAGTACTATGTATAAACATGTATCGATTAAAAGAACAAAAATGTATTTCTATCATTAATAATTGTTGTACTATAATTAACTTATAATTTATTCTTATTACGCCGATCAATATACATATTACCTGTCTCATTACATTAAAACGTATCCGCTACGAATAAAACTGATCAATCATTCGGAATATAAATTGAAAAGTAAAGAAACGTTGCGCGTATCGATCTCTCATTGTCAGTTACATAACTACGTATACATTGTGTATTGTTTGTTTTTGCATATACAACGGTTTCAAAAATCGAAGCGCGCGTTATCGCTTTTCGTTATTCGACAAACTATATGTACGAGAGTTCTCTCTATTAAGTCTCGACTAATTCCTTGATAAGGTAAATACGTCAATTTCGAATATTAGAAAATGAGCAAATCTCTCAATGTCGTGTGTAACGTTTTGACGCTAATCAGTCACACGAGATACGTGTGTGTGGTAAAATGCGGAAGTCGCTGGGCGCGAAATAGCGACGCACATGTTCCGCCGCAGTTCGCCGTGTCGAGGAGACTGGCGAGCGAGTGCGCGAAGGCGAAGCAACGCAAAGCGAGCGACGCGCCAGCGAAGATCGCGCACGCGCGAATTAGTAGGTCGATCGCGGCTTCGGTGATTCCCGGCCGGTTTCGGTCGAATCCGTTTGGATTCGAACGCGAGCACTGACTCCCGCCACACGATCGGTGCGCGCCGGCAGTCGGTCGGTCGTACGTGGTACACGAGGTTCGCGAGGAGTCGCGAGAAACCCGCGAAGAATCCGCGAGAGAGGAGGCACGCACACGCGGTTGACAAGAACGGAAAAAAAGAATAATCGTGGATATAAAAATTCTCGACGAAAACACGAAGAGGAGACGTGGAGGATCCGCTGAGGATTTTCCATCGTCGTCGTCATCGTGCAACAATTTGACGATCGCGCGGAAAAAAAAAAAAAAAAAAAACAAATCGAGTCGATCTCTCCTCTCGTGATCGAGAGCGCTGAGAGATCGATCCTCGCGCGTGAGAACGAGAGCCGTCAAAAAGTGTGGAGCCACCAGCGGCGAGAAACGAGCTATAGTACACACGGAGGAGAATTCGACATGGTGGAGACGGTAAGTTTTTCATTTCTTTTTACCGCATCCAATAACTTGCGTTTATTGATTTCACAATATTCTCTTTCTTATATTTCATATTCAATATAAAATATTATGTGTTAACATTTGTTCAGCTACAACTACACTTATTGCTCGCATCGACACGCATCTACATACATGCGCGGTGCGTTCTTCGAACTATTTTACAATTTTTATAATTGACGGGTAAAAACAAAAAAAAAACAATCAAATGCGTGTTCAATCGTAACCGCAGAGAAAGAATTATGAGGAGAAAAAATAAATTTCCAATGCGCCGTAATGGTTACGGTCCTGTCGAAGAAAGATACTGGTGTGAGTCAATCGTACGGAAGGCTAACTTTCGAATCCACTACTACTATAAAGACTTGCACGGTGTGTCGATAGTTAGTACGGGAAGCGAGAAATTCACTCGGCTGGTACGTGATGGAAAATTTCGCGGTAAAAAACAGTAGCGAAATCTGCGACCGATCCGCGATTTTCTTGACGCGCGATGAGACTTTTACCGAGCAACACTTCATTAGTCTTTCGCGAAAACGTGCCACTTTGATACGATCGAAGTGTTTGTTTTTTTTTTTTTTCTAAGCGCATTTGCGTGAAAATAATTAAATAAATAATCGTACACTTTTGTACATTATGTATATTTTACATGTCGCCGCTATCTTAATAATTCAGTAAGCGATAATCGCGCCTCCGACTCTCTGATCGCGCTATCATTTTGTTATAATTGCAAAACAAAAAAGAAACGAAAAAATTACGCTATAAGCGTATGAAGATTTTTTGCGAAGATATGCACTCAAGTTTATCTCTTGATGACACGCGCGCGGGAAACAAAAAGTACTATGCGAGCGCGTGCGATTAAGCGATATTTGTAATTGTATTCCGCGATTAACTGTGCTTCCACAGATTAAACTCTGCCTTTTTTTTGTTCGCGTCTATTATCGCCGCTTGTAAAAGATAATTAACGTTATACTTATGTACGTAGTTATTTTTTTTTGCGACGCTGAAGAATAAGTATCGAGCATAATGGAGATAAAAAATATTATTTTATATATTACGATGTAACATTTATGAAATAGAAATATGTTGAAAATAAATTGTTTTTGAATTGCCTAAAATCCCGCAACTCTCGTTCGGCAACGCTTTCACCTTTAAAACTTATTTATTTTTACTCACCGAACTTAACTACACTTTAAATTAAATTGTTTTAATTGTTTTTTTTTTTTTAATTTATGTAACGCTTCTCTCTTACAACGTATATTTGATTTTAATTGTTCTCACGTAGTAGTTTAGCGTTTTGACGATATGCACAACGCGGCTGTAGAATTTCGTACTTTGTACAAACTTTATCGCTCTCTCGGATGTTTAAACTTTTTTGAATAAAAATAAAACGTTTATAAAAAATTAACAAATATCGCCAGTCTTAATGATACAAACATACATATGTTCGATCGCATTTGCTGCGATTCTGTCAATAAATTTGTCAAAACGAAACTATAGAAACTATATACGAGACTATCAGTAATAAAACCTATAAGTATCTGAATTATTGGGAAAAGAGAGAGAAAGGCCGTGTTTATTTCAACAACTTTCCGTGAGACACTATATCATTAAAACTCACAGTTTGCTTTTTTTGATATTTCCAATAGTGAAATGTGTTACAAATTACACGTGTTATAAATCACAATTATTTTTGAGTTTCAATCATAAAGGAAAGCGGTCTTGAAAAAAGAAACGTTGTTCACGTCGAAACGTTATTTATAACATGCGTAAGAAACGTCATTTTTGTATTTATTGGTGTGCCTATACACAGCAGAGAATTACATTAGAAGGTCTCTCTCTTTTCTCCAGAGAAAAAAGTTAAAGTATCTCTCTTGAGCGAGGAAATTTGTATAGTTAATAAAAAAAAAAAAAGACTACGCGCGAATCTCTATTTAAGGGAAAGGAATAAAAAAAGGGAATAAAATTAAAAAACTTTTCGCGTGATAATTAACAAAAACAAACTTTGTCAAAATGATATTGGCGGTAGCTGTTTTTTTAAAAATCAATGTCTGACCAAACGGCCATTTACTCGGATCGACGGGAGCGGCAGACAAGAGACTTCGTTCCTTTTCTCTTTCCTGAGAAAATACAAATAACATTTTATTTTTTAATTGCAATTTTTTGTATTTATATCGTTTGAATAAATAAGTTTTTTCACGTCGCGACTTGCACGCTTTAAATCTTCGACCCACGTATACTTTCGCTAGAGAAGAAACCAACGAATTTTTTTAACCTTCCTTTACAGTTGTTTTTTTTTCTTATTATATTTCAATATTTGTCCAGAGTATCCGTGAGTATTTTCGGTCATCGATATATAAAAGCGCGTAACCTATATCATGCGAAACTTTATTGTCAGAGATAACCGAGTCACAATATATATGAGACACGCCGTGTCGATTCGTATCCTAGCCGCGTAAACAGCGGTGTAATTAAAAAATATCGGTAGCCGGTCTTTGTGTGCCACGAGCGGGTATTGTATGTAGCAGTCGTCCTTGCCGAGTCAATTCGAAATCCTGTCTCACACGGGTTCGCATTAGCGAGGGCGTGGTTGGCTGTTCGTTCCTGGTCCGAGGATAGCCAGCCTCATAGTAATTGCACCAGACTCGTTTCCACCACACGACATCTACGGTTTTGCTTCTCTCTTCTTTTTCTTTCGTTGTTCTATCTCTCTCTCTCTCTCTCTCTCTCTCTCTCTCTCTCTCTCTCTTTCTCTCTTTCTTTCTTTTTCTCTCTTTCTCCCCTTCTTTATCTCTTTCTCTTCTTCCTCAATATTGTAAAACTTACAACTGGATATCATCTCAAAAGAATCCACTTTAATTTTAATTAACTCGATCAATTATATATCTTTGATTTGATCGCAGCTCGTTCTCTCTCTTTTTCTCTTTTATTTTATTTTTATTATTTTATTGTTTTGTGTATTTTTATTTAATTCTCTTACGCTCGAGAGGAGCGTAAAGAATTTCCTTTATCAGAGCGCATTATATAAATATAGCTCTTTAATCTAATCTAATTTTCTTCTCTATATTTATGTTATGTTAATCTTGTTTTTTTTTCGCGACGATAAGAATTATAGATAATATGTTATACGTGTAAAGCCATTCGCGGAGATACTTGTTTTTAGTGTGACTTATCGACAAGTATATATAACGTAGTATATATATATAAAATATATTCGATGAAAAGTTCAAAGAGAGACAGAACCAAGTTACAAACGTGTACAATGTGCGCAATTATTATTACAGTTTATTTTCACAAGGTGTGTTAAATCGACATGTGAGGACCAGCGATCTCTTAGACTTCCTACATTATCTTTCGTACGTCATTTCTTTTTTTTTTTTTTTTGCATGAATAAGATATTGGAGAGTTTACAGTATTATGTATTTTACCACATTAGTGGTGTATGACTGTTACACACACACGCACACACACAGAGGCCATACAGCGGTACCGTTCTCCTGTACTTAAGGGATACGAAAGGTCGTCGTCAATATTGCTAACGCAAGCGAGATACGAGTTGCGCAATCTTACACAGCCGTGTCGAACGTCGATCTCGGGGCCCTTGCGAGATCGACGTTGAGTTGCGTGTCGACGCCCGTGATCTACGATCTAGGATCGATCCGGGACTCGAAATCGAGGACATTAATCAGCGTTCGGCGGTGTGTTGTGCACGTGGGTGGCCGTTTACTGACGCAAATCGCAAATGGCTCTTTCTCCGCGGCTTGCACATTTATCCGTATTGCACAGGGGGGTATAAATCGAGCGAGGTCAAAGCACCTCGGCGCGAAGCGAAGAAAGGACGACGTAAAAAGACAGTGTTTTTTTTTTTTTTTTTTTCGAAAGGCAGTTTTAAAGGTCGAGATCGACTCTCTTTAATATGTACTTCTCGATTCCCATCCCGAGAAAGCGAACTCGCGCGCGCTCTCGTACAAAAAGAAAAAAAAACAAAGTAAAAGAGAAAGAAAGCGTTTCTAAGAAACGCGCCGCGCGCGCGGACTTTCCGTTATTTATTACACAAGTTGCAAACTATTGTGCAATATTATCGGATTGAATTTCAATTGTAAAATAATATTCGCCAATTAAATCGCCGTAAATTCATATCGACGAAAATTTTATTTTATTTATTTTCCGCGCTCTTTACTTGAAACTTATGTAAGCGCCGCATATTAGCAAAAATGAATGAAATATTGTATCGAGAATGCGGAAAATTTGAAAGTAACACCTGCGAAACAAGCGCGTATCTATTTTCGTTCGAAGACTCCGCGCGTGTATCTTCCGATATTACCATATCGGTGTTACCAGCAGGTACTTGCGGATTACGGTTAATGCAGCGGTGTGATGCACCGATTAACTGTACGGGAAGTCATAAGGGAGTAAATACGGCGCGTCTGATATCCGAGAGCGACCGGATTCCACGACTGCAACAACCGTTGCGGAGGCGCATATCCGGAGATGAGACGAAAGTACGTCGTCGCGCGGCATTGCTTATAACCGATCAAGAAAGAAGGAAACAATAAAGAAACGACGTTGTTACGGGGCCCGCGTGTTCCGCTCTGCCCGCGTGCGTTCGTTCCAATTACCCACGATTGCGCGGTGCTACGTTGCACCTCGCGTACCACACATACTCCGTAATATTGTCGTAATTATCGTAATGCGCGTGAAAACAGGTTGAGATCGCCGCATTTTACATATCATGTGGAAATTTACTTCTCTCATGTCGTCTATAACAGAAGAGATAGAAAGAAAAAAAAATAATAATAATAAATGTGATACTTTCTTTTAAGTTTTTATCTACACGTAAAAACTTGATACTTGACATTTACTCGTAATACTTGTAACAACTTTGCGGTTTTTAATGTTGTTTTATTACACCGAAGACAAAAAATAAACTTCCTCTCTTTCTCGCTGTTTCTGTCATTATTTTGTGATTTTTATGATGTGCA